GCAGGATCGACTATGTAGTTTCCGGCGGCCACGATGAGAGGATCTCATGTCGTGCCGCTTTATCGAAGTGAGAATATAATGAGGAATGTTGTAGTGTATGTAAGTGTAACATAAATAATTTCGGTGGCGGCGCCCTTATTGTCGGGCGGGTCTTGGCGCCTGTGTGCACCGCACGACTCGCATACAGGGGTGGCGCGGCCCTACATGATAGTAACTTTTATAAATTTTAATAATTTTATTGCGAATACACACATAAGAGAAAAGATCACCTGTAAATCGATTAAACTGATATTTTACAGAGAAACCAGCTCCGATTGGGTATTAGTACCATCGGGTGTTGTCACTCATATATACTCATGTATGGCCCGTGAGATGGTTCATATATACATATATGCAAAAAAAATTGCACCATGCACATCAAGTAAATTTTATTTATTACCTTTTGGTATCACCTCATCATCTTTGTACCAAAACGAAACCTAAAATGGCATTATGCGTGAAACAGGATTAGCGAAATGGCTCTGTTGATTTTGATTAATGATTTAATTTTCATGACTTTAACATTGATAAGATTTACTTCATATTTTCATTTATATAATATTTCATAATAATATTTCAATTCTATTTTGCATGTATCTTACATCGAGTCGTTTTGTGTTTAATCATTTTGCATTTTGAATAATTCTGCACCGCTCAAGCATAATTAATTTAAGGTGTTGAATTCAAATTAACATTAACATAGATTTGATCAAAGACTTTCAAGGATTGAATTTAATTTTACACTTATGCCAAATTTTGGTAGATACACTAATTAAAAAAAAAATAGAAATGATGAGTCGACAATTTCTACTGAACAAAACACTAGATGAAGCGTGACAATTGAATACAATTGACGTTTAAATTCTACGTAATAAGGCCTATAATTAAACTTGAACAAAAATTTTGAACGCTTCTTAAATTCGCTCCATTTTATTGCCCATCAAATTGTATTAAAATTTTTACCAGAGGTATTTTTAATGAAGTCGATTTTTATGAAGCTCTAAACAATCAAGGCAAAGGCAGGTTGGATAGTACAGCCGCTTCCGTACCGTAATATCCGTGCTTTGTTGTCAGCTTGCAATGCTAAAACTCTTAATCATAACTCTTGATCTAAATATTATTAGCTTATTGGGAATCATTAACTATGTCCTGTCTTCGTCAGCGAGAGTGCCATTTTGATTTTGATTACTCATTACTGACCCAATATCAGTCTCGTAATTGCAGTGAAAATACATTCCTGATCCTGCGGACCGAATAGAAAGCAGTCGGCGACGCCCAAAACACGTCATTTCGGATCCTCCCGATCCACTAACGGTGCTTTTAGGTACCCTAAGCACCGGTCATCGTTCTCGTCGAACCCGTCGCTTGCGATGAAGGGCTCGATGAGTAAATTTACCCACAGACACAGCCCACTGAGTTTCTCGCCCGATCTTCTCAGTGGGTCGCGTTTCCGATCCGGTGGTAGTTTCTGCGAAGCACGGCTCTTGCTAGGGTTCGTGTTAGCAACGTCGTCAGGTTTGAGCCCCGTTAGCTGACCTACTAGTTAAGGTTACGCTAAAATAGCCTCTCAAGGCTCTCAGCTTAGGTAGGAAAAAAAACTACAAACACTGACCCAATATCAGTCTCGTAATTACGGTGAAAATATATTGTGAGAAGTTATAAAACCTCAAAGAAGTTCGAAGAGACTCCCTTCTCTCGATTTTCATTCGTTTACTAGGACCACCATTATGCAAAGGACGATCACTGTTAGAACGCCTCAAAGTGGCTCAACACTAACCCACGCGTGATGTTTCACATATATAACCATGCTTCTACTCGTAATTGACAGCATAAATTCTGTGATTAATTATTCAATTATTGAATGTAATTTTTACATTGTGTTTCGAATTATGCTAATGACTTTGCTCTTTTGTGTGTTAGCTTTTGAATATTTTTTTGTAAACTGAAGCCGGGTATAGAGTCTCACTTTTTCTTTGAGGCTTGGCTGTGCCTCTGGCATTGCTGACATTCATGAGAAACGGTAACCCATCATCAGAACTTCCACGCTTAGCGGCTATACTAACACAGGATGATAGAATTGTGTAACCCTCTTTTATTGATTCATTAGTAAAAACAAAACAAATTTTTATTTTTTAAAAAAATACACAATGTATTATTTTAATAACCTAAAATTACATGTCCGCAACACGCTTCGTCGGATGATAGTATCTGCCCGTATGTGCTCTGTGTACTTAGCGCGAGTTTTTTAACGTTCTCGATAGCGTAAAAGTAAATTAAAATTTTGTATGCAATTGGAACAACGCCCCTAGCGGCAAACGCAGGCAAACCTGGCAAACGTTCCAACTCCATACAAATTTGAGTTAACTTCTACGCTGTCGAGAACGTTAAAAACTCTCAAAAAGCACAACGAACAGGTCTCTCATTATCAATTTCATTTCTGCGAAGCAAATTACACAAAAATAGATCAGTATTATTCACACGTTATATTTATGTGATGTCATCATGTAGGTGGAGATGCACTAATTATCACCGAATTATATGTGTATTATTATATGTATGAGATAGTGAATCCACTCTTCGCTATGACTATTATAAAATATAAGCAATATACATTTCTGTAGATACAGATAATTTTTCAAAATTTTAGATACGGTTTTCCCGCGCAATCATCATGACACCTCTTAACGGCGCCTTTTTCCGTACAGAAGATATACAATGTACATAACTTTACTGGGATAATGTGAGTCGTGCTTACTTGTCTTTGAAATTGTACATTATTTGGCAAGATTTACATTTTTCTCATGATTCGCTTGGGGTTAAGCGATGACCGGAGCCCTGCAAGCATACAGTCCAAGTCATCGTATTGATAATGGATCTCTTTTGGCTGTACAGAAATTGATGTCGTCGGCTTTTTTTTTTATTTATGCCAATCGACAGTAATTTACGATTTTTAACAAATACTAGAAAAGTAGAGACCAAAGACTTAAACCATTAAAACGCAGCGATGCAAAACAAGCACGCTTGAAAAATTCTTACAAAAAACTGATTTAAAATAATGAATAATTGAATCAGATATATGAACGTATTAGATCATAAACGAGATGTACATATTTAAATTTTACGGATATTTTGAGTTATAGAACAAGTAATTAGTTAAATTAAAAAAAAACACGCGAGTTACTGAGATTAAACATTTTAATCACACTGTAATTGCACTTATTTCAAAAGTTTATTGGCCTACACTGCAGCGCCGGCGTGCGTTAATTAAAAGCACTTAAGGTTTTTCCTATTCCAACTTCTCTTGGACAGGTAGGTGAGCTCACGGAGTCAACTTGAGACAATTGGTAACACTAGGCCTAACAAGAGCAGTGCTTCGCTGAGTCTACTATCGCATTGGAATCGCGACCCACTGAGAAAATCCGGCGAGAAACTCAGTGAGCTGTGTCTATGGGTTAGTTCGCTCTTTGTCATAATCGACGAGTTCGGCGAGGACGGTGACCGGTGCTTGAAGAGCCTAAAAACACCGAGACTGGATCCAGGGATACTATAAGACATTTTTTGAGAGATGGCGGGTTTGCTTTGCCCCGTCGCCCGGGTCGGATATGTAGTTAGAAATATGGTGTCGCGCTGCTTTTTCAAAGTAGCGTTTTGACGCTTCCTTAAGATACTTACATATCGGTACTAGATTTAGGTCGCCGTGAAGGTCGACAGTTCTCACATACCACGGTGCCCCGACGATAGTCCTGCAGAAATGGGATTGGATGACCTGGAGAGAGTTAATGTGCCTAAGGGCCGCGTGGGTGAACACTACACTTGCATAAGTCTTGACGGAACGTAGAAAGGAAAATAAATAAATAAATAGGATTTTTTTTTTTTTTTTTTAAATAGCAACAGAACAAAGATCAGCTATGTTTAGAATTATGGTTTTGATTTTATTTTTTGTTATTTTTATTTTGTAATACATAGAGGAGTGAACCTCACTGGTCACGGGTGCTTAATAGTATTTGGAGTCCATAGACAATCTCAAATCTCAATTTCATATTACGACGAAAACCTCATATCATGGGTTCGCACACATCTTCGAAACTACAAAATTTATCGTAAAGTTTACTTTAAATTCATGGCTTTTCTTCAGTGACCATCCCGCCAATCACTTTGTTTTTTAGGGCATGGACCACACTTCCTTCGAGGTATCCACGCCTAGGGAGGCGAGGGGGGGGTGTTCAAATTTATTAAAATTTATTTTCTATTTTTTAGTTGGATTTACTATAAAAGCGTATTTTGTTAGTTTTTTTAAACTATTATTTATTTATTTTTTGTTAATATTTTCAAATTTTAAATTTCCATCGTTCCGAAATGTTGAAACCTTTATATCCATTAAGGTACTTACCGGCAAGCTAGTTTAGGCGGAATGCCTGTGCCGTCTTGCGTTTTGTTTCTGCTTAGTACCGTGTCGCAATAAATCAGCCGGGCCCACGCTTCCGTCCCATTATTTACGTAAGTGATCATTACGTTAGGCATCATTGACCAAGTTGGTTGATTTGTCAGACACAATCTATTGAGACAATCTAAATACGTAATAACTTAAAATAACGTTAAAAGATATAAATATTATTACGAAATCAATAACGTTATTATCGCGCAAAGATCCTGTCAATGTGACGTTTCAAATATAGGTACGTGATGTTTTTTTTAAATGAATCATATGCCATGAAACGATCATATTTTGGTAAAACAAATTCGGAAGAACACTTTAGCTCCGCTTTCATCAAACACGATACTAATAATTTCACTTAGGTACGCGGTAAAAATATATTAAAACAAATACCTATATTTGTTATCTATTGTAATAAGTACCTAAAAGTTTAAAATTTAAAAAAGAAAATTGTATCTATGGTTTCAAAAGTTACGAACTTATTTCGGTCTCATTTAAAACGCAAATAACAGGAAATACGAAACAAACGTCAACAATTAATTTATTAATAAAAATAATAATTTAAAAACATACAGTATAAAATTTTATTAATAATATGGCAAACTGGAAGTTGAACGTGTACCTAAGCAGGTGCCAGTCCGTCACGACACATCACAAAACTGTCACGCAAATGTCCTTTCGATGTAATCACAGTCGAACTCCGCAAAGAACGAATCGAATGGAGACAACGAATCCTCCGCGAACTCGGAGGGAGTCTCCTGGTCCAGTTCCGTCGAGAACTCCGACAGATCCGAGCAAAGAGGCGAAGGCCATCGATCCGGCCGAGTTGTTTCCGTCTCAGGGCCATCGTCCCTCAAGGCTGCAGACAGAGCCGTGATGTATCTCATAGCCAGTCGCAGAGTAGTGATCTTGGTGAGCTTCTCGCACGGAACCGGCGTCCCCGTGATCTCAGAGGCGGGTACAGCGCGTCTTAAAGCTTCAAAGGCTCGGTTGATTTCCCTCATTCGGCTTCGTTCCCTTGCGTTGGCTGTTTTCCTCCGGTATTTACTGAGGGGTTGAGGAGTTCGTCGGGCGCGAGGCTCGCGGCTCCTCGCAGCCCGCGGCCGCAGCTGGTATTTGTCGTGCTCGGGCATGGAGTGAGGCCGACACGAAGCGCCCGCGCACCCGTTCCGCTTGAGGAATACGTTCACTCCGCCCACTCGCCCCGCTCCGTTCACGTACAATCATCAACTTAATTATATCTTAGCCGAATAAATTTGTGTGATACTTAAATATATCGAGTACAATAACTGGTAGTAGGACCTGTTGTGAGTTCGCGCGGGTAGGTACCACCACCCTGCCTATTTTTACCGTGAAGCAGTATTGCGTTTCGGTTTGAAGGGTGAGGCAGCCGTTGTAACTATACTTCAGACCTTATATCTCAAGGTGGGTGGCGCATTTACGTTGTAGATGTCTATGGGCTCCAGTAACCACTTAACATCAGGTGGGCTGTGAGCTCGTCCACCCATCTAAGCAATAAATAAATAAAAATATCCGAAATATTGATCAAGACTGTACACTGTACAAAGCAATGCCTTTTATTAAGTATATTTTTTACGTACTTAAATCGCTTCATGTTTAACCTGCTGAACTAAAATTGTCTCCTGTGTTATGGTAGCCAGATACATGCATAGCGAAGAACAAGTACACTCAGACGCCTAATGTCAAATACTTTTCTCAAAGATACTGACTCCGATCAGAGACCGAACTACTTAGTCAGGATTAGTGACCACTTGATATCGATTAAAAAGATTTATTCATCAGGGGATACGAGCAAATTATCCCGAAAATCTCGAACTACTGTTACTACATTCCCTTAACTCAACTCACGGCTCACCTGGAGTTAATTGGGTATCGGCCCATTGACAATAACAATGTAGATAATGCCACTGTCCGCCTCGGGACATGAGTAAGTCTCAATTTTATTGTATAATTTCTACCCCACCCTTCAAACCGGAACGCATTACTGCTTTGCGGCAGAAATAGGCAGGGTGATGGTACCTACTGTGCTGTCCCACAAAACGCCCTATCACCAGTAAAAAGACTAGTGATATGCTTCCCTCAACTATCTTCGTCTTTCCAAATACTTTTCAGGCTCACTTCATTATTTAATTTCCAATTTTTTATTCTATTTACTCTGGTCTGGATACTGGAGGTAAGTTATAAATTATTACATGGTCATCGAAGTCAAACAGTCGTTTTGAAGTCGTTGAAAATTACGTTCAAACTTTGTGTTACATACAAACTAACATGCAAATAGTAACTTAATAAAGTTTTGTTAAAAATACCAATCATTGTTACTGTAAGAATTGTAACACTTTTGTAGGTGAGTTCACTTCCCAATGAATGAAAATCAGTAGGCCGTTCGATCGTAAGCTATAAAAGCGATCGCTTTAATCCGATTTGCATATTGGCTTCGCCATTTCCGCTGAATGTTCACGGCTAATTGTTTACCTTGCGATACGAGTCGTTCTTTAGTGTGGCGTGAGGTGGCGTGGGTTCATCGTCTGAATATTGTTTGTAGGAGTGTAGGCAGATTATTGATGTCACAAAGTTGCTGATTTATTCGACAGTCCCCCTCATTTGAATGACTAAATAACTATATTTGTTTTTAAATAACACCATTTTAATTAACATAAAATGTTAAATGTTTGTAGAAGCATAAAATATGTAAATCGTTAAATTTAACACTTCTGTATGAATACTCATTCTCCTGTCTTTCTCCCAGTCACCTGGGGTCGACGCAACATTTTTTCTCCTTCCATACTCCTCTATCATATATCATTTCTTCGTTCACTCCCCTCTTACACATATCGTCTTTCACGCAATCCATCAATTTCTTCTTAGCTCTTTCTCTATATCCTTCCACATTCATAGTTGATACTCTCTTACCAACATCATTTTCATTTCGTCTCATCACATGTCCATACCATCATTTTTTTATGAATACTATTAACATTAAATTCGTCATCTATGAAACAGAAGCAGAAAGCGACAACTTTCGAGTTAGTATTTTTTATCATAATTTTTAATAATAATGTTACACTAATTGACATAATACGTATTTCTACTATCTACCTGTTATACTCTTCTACTCTACTATTCTAATATTCAGTCCTACCTATCTTCTATATACTAATCTAGTATCCATTTGCTTATACTGTGATAATAAAGCCTTCGTCAAACAGAACGCGTAATTAGCGCGCGTCAGAGCGCTAAACTGACGCCGTGCTATGACGCCGAGATGTGTTGTACTACTATGGTAACATACCGTCAAACAGAGCCCCAGCGCTATAAATACGCAGCGCTCTGTCGCGGCGTTAGGATGATTTGAGGTCAGGCGTTGTAATTTTTTACAAATTTTATTTTAGCGTCCGAGTGGATGTGTATTAAAATACTAGATAATGCCTGAAAAAATGATATAAATAGTTAGAAAATACCCATGCTTATACAATGCCACATCTGAATCACTCGATTTCTTAATCCTTTTAAATTTTTACACTGCTATCGAAAGGCACTATGATTTGGCGAATGCGTTGCGTCAAGGAGCGTTAGACTCATCTAGTCAATTATAAGAGCGCGACGTTAAGTACGCGGCGCTAAGTACGCGTCCTGTTTGACGAAGGCTTAAACCTTCATAAGTTTACCTTTTTTGAAATTTCGCGCCAAAACATGGACCAATTGTACTTAGTGTGAAATGTAACAAAAAAGTAGAAAATGGGTTATTGTTGTCGTAACGAGTTTTACTTTGTGTGAAGATTTATATAGTACCTACGCTATTTAAATTAAATTGTAACCTATTTTTAAGTGTCACATTATAAAGCTAATTACTGCGGAAGAGTTATTGTAAAATCGATTTTAATTGGAGCAATGGAGCTGCATTGTGAATTATTGCTATATTTAGATAAAAGGCGCTATTTAGGTAAAATGAAGGATGATTGTGAAAATTTCTTAGAATCATTAACAGAAAAAACAGTGAGTAAGTTTCCTTCACTGCGATGTTTCCTAGAAATTGACGTCATGGATGTAATCGACGTGTTGCCGAGTCTTGGAGAATTAATAATAAAAGAACCATTGAAATTGCAAAAGATGTGCAATGACGTATTATTTGCGTGTCTGCGATCTATTGACGTGGATAACTACAAGCTTGTTGAATATTCACAAGTTGTCGTTGTTTTAAGATTAAAATGTGTTCCTCGAATTCTATGCCTACCCAACCCAAAACGGTATAAAGGCTTAACATATTTTGAAGGGACGTTATTAGCTAAATCAGAATCTGTAAGCTATGTATATCACACAGTCTGGTCATGTCCGGAAGATTGTGAAGACAGCGTGAACATAATACATTATATACCAAAAACACCACCAAAATGTTGCATTTGTAGAAGTACAATGTACGAGAACAGCGGCCTCAGAAGATGTGGCGACCAAGTTACAGCAACTTTCAAATTGAAAGGAGACTATTTATTAAGAAAATTCTACATAGTCGATGATTTAATTCCCAAATTAAAAGTGGGTTTATATTACGCCTTGCATGCTATTGTAGGTAAATCCATTATAATATGGAGTTTGGAAAAGATTAAACAATGTAAAGCACCAATGACCCATCCCGTGCCCAGGGACTTGGATGTATTGTATAACGCATGCAATCGTTCCCCTTGGAAATTCATATATTGTCTCGCTTCCAGTCTAGCGGTTAACGTGTGTCCTTTAAACTGCTTCATACAATTGAAGATAAATTTATTATTGAGTCTAGCAAGCATTAAAGCTAACGTACTGACTAATTCTAATATCATACACGTACTAGCAACAGGATTTGATACTCGTTTTGTGGGAGAAATTATGAATGAAGCGGCTAAGCTTACGGATAAAAATATTTTAATAGGAACTTCTAATACTGATGTTGCCACTGCTTTGATCGCGGGTACTGGAGGAATAGCCGCATTTCCACTACCACTTCACGCTTACAATCAAAAACAAATATTTTCTGTTCTATCAGCCATTGAAAGTGGAGAAATAATGAATGAGACAAGTAAAACAAAACTGAAATGTGCTGTTTGGGCGCATGGAATGGATTTTAAAAAGATCGTAATGTTCAATGTTGCTAGTGTATTTGGCAATGTGTGTCGAGGTGACCACGGCGAATTCAGTGATAATATTGTAGAGTATTTATTACAAGGATCCATAGAACCTTCCGGAATAACAGAAGATGAACTACGTGCACTGAAAGATATTAGCACATACTTAAGCATTGTGGCTGGCATAGAAGTTGAATTAGATAAATTACCAGAAACACTTCTGAGAAGCTATTTTCTTGCAGCTCGTAAGGAAAGACCTCGTGCAGTTGCGATTAGCAGTATGAACTCGCTAATCACTGTTAGCCTTACATCGGCGAGGCTTTGCAGGCGATCAGTTGTTACTATAGAAGACGCTATATTTGCTATATGGCTGCATGTATGTGGATTTCCAGAGCCTAGATTCGCCCCGGAGGAATATCTTGAAACTCCAATGAATATCCGAAAGTTGAACAAGATCATGGACGGCTTCAAACATTGGCTCGAACAGTTTACTGGGATGAGTAATTTGTAAGATTTCGTTACGTCACTCACTTTCAGCATATGCTTTGTGAATCTTTGCATTATAAAGATAATAATAGCTTCTTATCTTTTGCGTGTGCTTTTTTGCAATAAAAGGTTTAGACACCCATTTCAATGAATTATTCAGATCCTTTATTAGCAAATTCTGTAATTTAGGTACCTTGATGGGTGGGCGAGCTCACAGCCCACCTGGTGTGCCCATAGACATCTACGACTTAAATGCGCCACCCACCTTGAGGTATAACTTCTAAAGCCTCAGGTAAAGTTACCACGGCTACGCCACCCTTCAAACCGAAACACATTACTGCTTCACGGCAGAAATAGGCAGGGTGGTGGTACCTACCCGCGCGAACTCAAAAGAGGTCCTACCACCAGTAATTACGCAAATTATAATTTTGCGGGTTTGATTTTTATTACACGATGTTATTCCTTCACCGTGGAAGACAATCGTGAACATTTGTCAAGTACCTAACCGATCTCTTTTTTAATTCTGTGTTTTATTTATTATGACACAACGAGAATTCCGCAATCTCAATTGCAACTGTTTTTTCTCCTACCTATTTGCTGGTAGCTCAAGAGGCTATTCCAGCTACGCCCGGACGGGTAGGTGAGCTCACAGGCTCAACCTGAGAGAATCTGGTAACACTAGACCGGAATCGGGATTTCCTGAAAAGATCCGGCGAGGAAACGAGTGGGCTACAATTGAACTATGTCTCCGATGTGCCCTATACCCTTAAAATCGGAACATGTAAATACTTCGGGGCAAAAATAAGCAGATAACTTCTCGTGTGTCTTTATAAAACTCAAGTGTACGAAGTTATTCCTTCATTCTTAAAATTGTACACGACAGGAAATCTTATTAAGAGGAGAGCTGGCACCAATTTTTGGGTAGGTATTTGAGGCAAGCTGAAAACTTGTTCCATACCTCTCCTGATACACCCCAACTCGGAACTACAGACTTGGCTGGTGATTAGCGGGGCTAAATAAACCCTTAATTTTTTTTAAATATTTTCTTTGTTTTTCAAACCATGATAATACGTTTGAGTCTACATGCAATTTATATATTCTGTAGTTTTAAGTTTAAAAAATTAATAAAAATTAAACCAGACAATTCAGTCGGGATTTTATATTGCCAGGCGCGTGCAAAAATATTTTGCAAAAATATGTAAATAATGTATTTGAGGCAACTTGAAATTTTTATAGGACATTATTTATGACAAAAAAATAATATTCCTAAAAAGACAGGTAATTTTGGTGGGGTTTTCTACCTGTCAGGTGATCTAAAAAGTTATTTATAGGTGCGAGTGAGTAGCGCTATGGGCAAGCCGTAGTGTGATTATTTTAAGGCCTCAAATACCCACAAATTGGTGCCAGCACTCGGACTATATCTCCTAAGCAACGAGTTTAAAAGCTAGTAAGTATCAAAATTAGTAACAATAAAAGGCATTTTGTTTTTATTTTTAGTACCAATTAATTTGACTAGACAAACATGAATAGATTTTTGTGTCACAGGATTAAAAATATACACTTTAGTTACAAAAAATTAAAATAAAATAATAAATTCAATCTCAACGAATAAAATACAAATAATAATTATAACAATGATTAGATAATTTCATATTATTTAAATAACCTACAAAAAGTATTGTGTATAAAAATGTTAGTGAAAACCATGTAAAAACTTTTCCATCCATCACAGTATAAATTGATTCATAATTACAATCTAAGTAAGTATCTTAAAAAGCCACAACTGTTCCAGGAGGTACTCCTTTTTTGAAAGCGAATAAAAATTAAGGCACATCTGTAATTCGTAAAATTACTAAACTGGGATTAAAATTCAATTTAAATTATATAATAAAATCCATAAATCAATGAAAGAGTAAAGTTCAAGTATTCTTATGATCGATAAATGCTAATTTAAGTTTAATTTGATCATTAATTAATATTCAACATAAGTTAAACAAATATTTTACACAACAATAAACTGTAATGGTAAAAATTGATAAAAGGACTTTTTGGAACGATGAGACGATGCGGAGCGGTACCCTAACCGGGAAAAAACGTCAGTAACGTAAGATTTTTTTTAGTAATGCACACGGTGTACGCCTTAACTTTGTAATAACGTACAAAAAATTACATATTTTTTTATCATTCATTGACCACGATCTCAGAGCGTTCGTTTGCGCAATACACTAACTCTTATGAAAACAAATGTGAATGAAATGTACCACAATAAGTTCGCACGTTACCGAATGACCGTGCGTTGTTGCGAAACCTCCAGTTTTATTTTCTTTATACCTCGAATAGAACTTAAAATTAATATTTTTATAATAAGGAACTTTGTTCCTATCCGTTGTCCCACGACACCACAATTTTTTTTTAATATGAACACAAGGAGTGAAATTATTAGATTTCTTTTATTTTATTAAGTTATTGTTTCTTCATTTTTAAATATGTTGATATTACCTAGTAACATCTTTCAAACTCCAAAAGTGTGTGAAAATAAAACAAAATCGCCTAATGTAACTTCTCAGACTTGTCCAAAGGGTTCAATCAAATTTTAGTAAATTCCTACTATTTTACTAGGACATAATTCACTATATATGGTTTCATTCCATCATCAATTTTGGATAAATAAACTTCATTTAATACATAAAGAAAGAATAGAATAAGAATACAGAAAACTAACGGCCAACCTTCAGGATTGAAGAGGCACTGGAAGAAGAAGAAGAAGAAGAAACTTCATTTCATTTCATTTCAATTCTATTTTCATTTAGCAAATAATGAAATAATAAATGGAGATTTGGCTAAAGGACTAAAATCCAGGCCATAAAACATCATATATACATATATATTATAGATAAAAATTGATCCTTTCCTAGTTTTGTTGGGGGTACAATTTTTTGTGTATATAATTTCCTAACATAATGTACACCTAACATAGAATGTGCTGTTTCAGCAATATTTTGTGGATAAAAGTATTCACATTCATATATACTATTCTTTACATTCATTAAGAAAACTAAAATCAAAAATTGTAGTTTTTAACAATTCTCTCTGTGAATTTACCTCAGCAGACAAATTTACTTGATTCAATCGTAATTTTAAACTATCTTCTATTAGAGATTTCAATTTATCATCATCTGGTATTGTAGTTTTTAATTTCTGGCAGTGTTTTGAAACTGGTCCACCAATTTTGAAGTCTTTTTTTTCAAAAGACACCACACTGTATGGAATATCTGCCAAGTTATCCCCATCACTAACTGCCAAGTTTATGGTGGACCAAATACAATTATTCAGGTCATCAATGTAATCACTGAGGTCTTTGGTTAATTTTTCTGTGTTTTCTGCAGCCTTGGTCACAATGTCGGATATCTTGGAAAATTCGGTACCCAAATCCATCAGCTTCACAACAAAGGGCTGGTGATGAATTTCAAGCAATATTTTACTTCTCAATTTGAGACAGTTGTAGCAAATTTTCATAATGTCATCACAGTGTTTTTCTTTTCCGATAATTTCACTTTTCCTTGCCATAATGTATATTTTGAATGCATTGGCATAAACTGCTTGGTAATTATATTTGGCTACAAAGTTTTTTATATCATCTGACACAATTTCATTACAACGTCGTTTAGCAGATGTGAGTCTAACAGACAATTGATTCCAGGCTTGTTGGAGTTTACTGATTTTTAGGAAATGCTCATCTGTGTCTTGGAATGTTTTGTTGAAACCTCCAAGCATGTTTATGCCCTTTCCACTGTCTCTTAATTCGTTAACTTGCTCCTTACCAGTTTCAATCAGCCTTTTCATTATTTCTTCCTTTGCTAGAAGATTACTTATACTTTTATCAACTGCATTGTGTTTTAGTAGCAATTGTTTGCCCTCATTTTTTAGTGATTCTCCTCTAACAAGTAACCCATTAATGAGTGATTCATAAATTTCAGATTGATTCTTTACAAAATACAAGCTATTCTTATATAAAGTTTGGCTATTTTTGTGATTGTACAAAGCTTTAGGATGCTCCAAGCATCTTTGTACTGATTTTGGCACTTCTGGTTCTATGTTCTTCTGAAGAATGTATGTTTTATTGAACAAGTATACCATTGTGTTACAGTGTTCTCTCCAATAGTTTGACACAATGTCCATTTCTCCAAGTTCTGTAAAAGTATTTGGACATATCAAGATTAAGTCTGCTATATCCATACTTGTATCTTGCCCAATCCATTTCTTCAAATCAGAAACCATTGTAGTATCATTGATTTGGTATGCTAGTCGTGACAGAGTAGGTACAGAAAATATTCTTATTATCTTCCGAGATAAAATATTTTCCAGTAGGTCATAAATGATGATGTTACTGCTTACTTCTCTTTGCTCAGTAGGAATATTAAATCTGACTCTTGTATGAGAATCTCTGCCTCTCAGTTTAGGATCCCATTCCAGAGCTATTCTAAGCCAATCTTCCATTAGTACTTTAAAAGGCGCCGACATATGATTTTCAGGAAATATATTGTTTGAATATTCAATATCTCCATGAAAAGTTTCATAAACACAAATATTTTCATGTGTTTTCTTTTCGACGTGAGGCATCCACTGTGCAGGAGACATGAATGGAAGGAAAGGCCTTTTCCCACAAATTATTTCAAAAGCAAGCAAACCAAATGACCAAAAGTCAACAGAATTGCTATATGTTTTGCTGTACAGTAGCTCTGGTGCTAAATATTGAAGAGTACCAACAAAGCTGGCACACACGGAATTAAAGTCAATCTCCTTCGCATAACCTAGATCTATCAGTTTGTATATGACTCTTGGTTCAGTTTGAGGAGAAATATTGTTTTGCTCTGTATTCTCTACAATATTCATAACAATATTTTCTGGTTTTAGATCACGGTGAGTTATTTTCTTTTGATGTAAGAACTTCATTGCATTTCTGATATCGCTGAGAATCTGACGAACTTGTATTTCTCGCAGTCCGGAACATGATTCGGGTTTATTCAATTGCTGCCTAAGATCACCTCCGCTGCAGTATTCCATACACATTATAGGTAGACCTGAAGGATTGCCTCGCTCTAAGCCCTTTATAAATTCAGATGGAAGGGGTTTCGATCCAACGATGTTTGGATTTCGGCAGCTTTGCAACATTTCAACCTCCTTCGTCCACCTGTCTCTGTGTTTGTCAGTGAGTTCATCGCCCCATTTACAAGTTTTGATGGCGAGTTTCTCTTCGGTCTTTTTATGTTTCCACAGCACTACTGTCCCAAAGCTGCCTGATCCCAGTACTCTGTCTTTAATCCAATCGCCAACGAACACTATATCGTTCATTTTACTGCTTTAAAATTAATATTACTTTTAATTTAAACATGAAGCACTTACGATAAAAGTATGTTATAGGCGTAGCTTTTGTATTTTACAATTTATTAACGAATCTACAACAATTGCTCGTACCTATTTAATTATGTATAAAATTCACTTAAATATTGTATACAAAAATTACAAAAATAGATTATTATTTTTTTAAGAGATTTTATGACCTGGTAACTGAGACCTTTAAGTCATGTCTTATTTTACTTTATATTCATAATTTTATGAAAAATGATAATATGGAGTGAAATGAAATGAAGATGATTAATTTGAAACATTAATCAACTGGGATGAAATTTAATGAAATGAGATGATATGGGATGAAATATAATCGCAGTAAAATGGTGGTCATTTACTGAGATTTTTTCAGTGGACTTTTTGGAGGAACCCGAGAAGTTATGTCCAGCAGCTTTGTTTCATTTTCCCACATTTGTGCACTTTCACAGATATTAAACAGTTAATAAACCACCGTTATTACACATTTAAACCTGAAGAAACACTAAATAGACAAAATAAAACAAATCACACAACTTCACTCCTCGCGTTCCCGCCAAAAAGTCCAAAATTTTAACTTTTGTACTTACAATCATAGATTATACACTTAATTTAATTGAGACTTACAATACTTTTTTATTATTATTTTAAGAGATTTTATGACCTGGTAACTAAGACCTTTAAGTCATGTCTTATTTTACTTTATATTCTTAATTTTATGAAAAATGATAATATGGAGTGAAATGAAATGAAGATGATTAATTTGAGACATTAATCAACTGGGATGAAATTTAATGAAATGAGATGATATGGGATGAAATATAATCGCAGTAAAATGGTGGTCATTTACTGAGATTTTTTCAGTGGACTTTTTGGAGGAACCCGAGAAGTTATGTCCAGCAGCTTTGTTTCATTTTCCCACATTTGTGCACTTTCACAGATATTAAACAGTTAATAAACCACCGTTATTACACATTTAAACCTGAAGAAACACTAAATAGACAAAATAAAACAAATCACACAACTTCACTCCTCGCGTTCCCGCCAAAAAGTCACAAAAATAGATTTTTTTATAGTAGGCATAGATTATACACTTAATATATGATAGTACGACCTGGTAACATAGACCTTTAGATAATATCTTATTTCAGATTAGTCTAGTGTCTTGTATCAATTATCTATCTCTAGTATCGAATACTCTCGGTCTCGGAATCACGTACTTTTTTTAATCCTTGTTCTAATGCCGGCCACTCACATGCGGGCAAATATTCGTACATTGTATGAATGTTTGCGTGCATGTGAAGGGCCGTCAAACATTCATTCGCAAACTTAGCAGCTGTGCAAATGGGTTCGCATACTCAATTTGCGAACCCGTTTGCGCTTCCTCCCACACTTGTTTACGAATGTCTCACGAATTTCTCCTCCTTTTTAATTCGTCAATAGAACATTAAAGAGAAAAAGAGTTTTTAATTCTTTCCCAGACATCATTAACAGCCATGCTGTTTTTATGGGATTCCTTTTGATGAAGATACGCAACACAGTAGACGTCACGAACTATGAAAATGGCGATACGTCCGTTACCTTCGCAATCGTCGGCGCAACTGGGCAAACGAATGTGTGGGAGACTACGCGAAGGTTCGAGGTTCGCGCGCTTTGATGTCTGTTAAAAAACCGACACAGCTTGGAAAACCACGAATGTAGCGAAAACTTTGCATAATCATTTGCAAATGTCGTCCTACACTTGCGGGTTTGCGTATTCGTGAGCATGTGAGTGACCGGTGTAATACCGGTCACTCACATGCGCGCAGATATTCGCACATTGTACGAATGTTTGCGCGCATGTGAAGGGCCGTCATATATTCATTCGCAAACTTAGCGGCTGTGCAAATGGGTTCGGTACTCAATTTGCGAACCCGTTTGCGCTTCCTCCCACACTTGTTTACGAATGTCTCACGAATTCCTCTTCTTTTTTAATTCACCAATAGAACATTGAAGAGAAAAGGAGTTTTTAATTCTTTCCCAGGCGTCCCTTGGCCGTTAGCCATTCTGTTTTTATGGGATTTCTTTTGAGGGTCCCATATGGTCGATTCATTTTGCAGGAGTTCAATGAACTCCATCACCTTAGTGTTGTTCCAATCCATGATTAAGGTACGCTACACAGTAGACGTCATCAATTATGCAAATGGCAAAACGTCCGTTACCTTCGCAATCGTGGGCGCAACTTGTCACACGAATGTGTGGGAGACTACACGAATAATCGCGGTTCGCGTGCTTTGATGTTCGTTGAAAAACCGACACAGCTTGGAAAACCACGAATGCAGCGAAAACTTTGCATTATCATTTGCAAATGTCGTCCTACACTTGCGGGTTTGCGTATTCGTGCGAATGTGAGTGACCGGTATTAACGTCATAATATTTTCCTATTTGATAAAAAAAAGTAATTTGCTTACTTCATATCTACTCTAAGGTTTCATATATTTTACAAAAACTTGCGAGATACTAGGTGTGCTAATAAAGCAAATATTTTATTTTGTAAATTTTAATAGTGGTAACGAGGCTTCCTCGTGTCTTTTTAATTAAACATTTTCATATTTTTTATAATTTTTTTGTTTATCTTATCTTCTTATTTCATTCTTCTGTTCTTTTTCGTCCTGTCTTTCTAACTTCCACTAAAAACATTGAAATCGTTCTATGTAGACGTAGTGGTGGACTTTTTAGTCGCTACAATGATTTAATAGCAGCTTAGTATCGATGAAACAGGGCCAGAAAGTAGGATTTTGATTGGTTGTGGTGTGTAAAACATAATTCAAGGGTTGGCAGAAGAATAATGTTATTAAATATATAAGTATTATTTATTTCCAAACTATCTACTTCCAATCTTAATATACTGTGTGTGACACACTGTTCTGTTTTATAAAAAATGACAATATACTATGGATGAAATAAGATTGGTTTGATTTATATAAGATTGTAATCAATGAAACGACATAAGTTGGGATGAAATAATATGAATTATATGATTTCAGAAGATATGTTAAGAAATAGTCTCAGAAAAATAGTGATTATTTACTGAGACTTCAGTGGCCTTTTTGAAAAAACCCCAGAAGCTATGTCTAGCAATTTTATTTAATTTCCCCGTATTTGTATACTTTCACAGCAATTAATAAACCTGGAAAGCTCACACAACCTAACTCCTCGCATTTTCGCCAAATAGTCCATATTTAGATTCTAAAATAATTGATCATTTTTTCGTGTATTATCTGTTATTTTACAAAAACTTGATACGTACGAAAGTGTATCAATAAAGCCCATTGCCATACTAAAAAAAGGAATATTGTATCTCTGACAATAATTTGTTGTTTTTTGTTTATATTTCTGAAAAATTTTAGTAAAATGCATTAAGCACATATGTAATTAAGTAAAAGTACGGTACATAGGTAACATGTACACAAACGTTGTTTCTCTTAAACTATAAAATTGAAAATCATAAGTTTTAAAATGTTGGATATCAATTTGACTTGTCGTACTTGTATGAAAGAAAATGTAACTTTAATTAATTTGTATGAAAAAGTGAAAGCAGAAGAAAATATTTCCATGCAACTTAGTGAAATGCTTCAGAAGTGTACAAATACACGGGTAAGATTATTAAAATGGTTGTATCTATTGTTAGATAATTAATATACATTCAAATTTTCTAAAGACGTCAACCTTTGCTTATTTCATTAAATTAAGTAAACCCGTTCCAAAATTCAGCAAAAAGTATTCGACGAACACAGAATTTTGCACTTTGTTCATTAGAATTAATCGATTTCAACCATTAGTGTCTTATGTTTTGTAAATTATAAAACAAATTTTAGAAATTTTATGCTTTCATATAAATTCTATGCACCCTACTGTACACATTGACAAATTCTCCTTTTTTATTGGTTCCTTTTGACCGAGGATCATAACCATCATGAACCGGCCCAGACTAGGTTGCTCTGGTTATGGTGTCACTTAGTACTCTGCTATGCTGAACACTTACTGATATTTGCTAATGTACCCATCATCATGTAATTATAAATTAAAACACCGTTACCACCGTTTAAAATGTATTCTTTAAAATATTTTGAATTTGCAGCAATAAATAATATCATTATGATTAAAGTAGAAAGTAGTGATACAATATGAAAAATTAGTTTTAACAGAAATCTTTATTTAATTACTGTTGTTGAAAACTTGTCTATTGTGTAAATTTTGGGATCGTATCATCAAGAGACTCAGAATTCAATACTATTCAAACTGGATTAATNGTTTAAAATGTATTCTTTAAAATATTTTGAATTTGCAGCAATAAATAATATCATTATGATTAAAGTAGAAAGTAGTGATACAATATGAAAAATTAGTTTTAACAGAAATCTTTATTTAATTACTGTTGTTGAAAACTTGTCTATTGTGTAAATTTTGGGATCGTATCATCAAGAGACTCAGAATTCAATACTATTCAAACTGGATTAATCTATACTAGATTTATGTAAAAAAAATGTTTATAAAAATTGTAAATAATTTAGTTGGTATTATCTTCAATTCATCCACACATACACTGTTCTTAATTGGCTTGAAATCAGGCAAATGGATATCACTGCCTTCATCATAAGGGTAGTCAGTCATGCCTATCAGAAATACCTAGTAGAAAAATCAACTTGTTTACTTGTTCAATGTTCAAGAAGTCACTCACACACACTCAACTCTCTGTAAGATGTATCTGTAATGTATCTGTAAGATGTAAGTAACATGATCATATTTATCCTAAAACGAAGGCAGTGCAACTAATGTAAAAAATTACGCTTAACAGACATTAAACAGTAAATTATTTGTGGGTAGTTCAAGTTTCTACGTGTAACAAATTATCATCAAATGATTTAAACGTTAACTAACATTTAGATGATTTAACTATTATTCCTCTCACTGACATACATATATGAAAACAAAATACCTGTGATTCAGAGATCTGAAATTATCAGTTTGATAGAATGAATTCGAAATAAATTACAGTGGTAACCATAAAACTAGTTGTTTGCAGACAAAATAGTGAAGTAAGTTAAAGACTTCCGGTAAAGTTGCAAAAATATAACATCTAGATCAGTGATTCCCAAAGTGGTCTATATCAACCCCTAGGGGTATATGATAACCTGCACGGGGACTACGTCAGCGAAAAAAAAATTTGGGGGTCCACGATAGTGGATCTCAACACATACACTGATAGTACCTATTTACTTTCATCATACTATCTTATAATATCAAGACATCATTAGCCGAGGAGATTTAAGATTAACCCTTACAAAATTGACGCCAAATGTTGATAATTTATTATTAAAGCATCAGGTTCATCCTTCTCACTAAAAATATTGACTTATTGCTTATGTTATTTTATTTATAGTTTATTTTATGTTACGTATATTTTACATAACAGAACAAAATTTTATTTTGAGTAGTTTTAATTTAAATTCAATTAATAAATGTATAAATTAACATGTGTTTTTACTTTAAGTTTTTAATACTAAACTTTACTACAGTTAGAAGTTTACAGGAAATCAATATCAGTTAAGTAGGGGGTCTACCAACACGGAAAAACATGGCAAGGGGTCTACGACACAAAAAAGTTTGGGGAACTCTGATCTAGAGGCACAAAGTCTTAAGTCTCAATTATCCGATTTAATAAAAAGTATTTACAGTGTATGCATCCTTGTCATGATTCTTTATAGAAGTCATTTATCAACAAAAATAACAGAGATTATTAGTATATGTATTTGTAAAGAAAAACCTTCATAGTCTAAAAACCTTTAGTTTTTTTTTTTTTTTTAATGGCAATCTGCCGATACTTTCAGCAATTTCTGCCAGTGTCGTGGTATGGCTACACATGGAACATTGTCGAGCTATTTAAACACACTTTATGTTATGAAAAGTATCCAATTTTGGCAATAATAATGGTGCCTGGGACTAACACAATTAATGTTACTATAAACTTACATATTATAATAAAGATTATGTACAGAGAATAATGAACTACATATAATTATAATTTTATAGAGTTAGTAGTTACAAACTTAATAAAAGCATTTATAATACGGGGGTCTGGGAATAGTGAGAGGAGGTGGCGGACATTTACCGGCCGTTGAATTTTCAGTTCGCTAATAACTTGGTCCCATATGATTTAGTTTTATAAAAAGGATTTTTCTTATAATATATGTCATTCAGTGAAGTTTGACATTCAGTAAAAAGAAAGTTAGTTAAAATTAGTTTTGTTAAAAATAATAATTTTATTAAATTAAGGGCTTTAAATGTTGTTTTCTCATTATACACAACAGAAAACGCAATGAAGTCTTTTATTGTTTATTTATTCTGGAGTATCCAATATCATGATATATTTGTTTTAATTACAGATGCAGGAAGGAGATGGCCTCCCTCAAAAACTCTGTGACAAATGTGTGATGACATTAAAAATGATTTACACATTTCAAAAACAAGTAATAAAAGCTGAAGAGGAGTTCAGAAAACTGTTAAGAATTCAGCTCGATGTGAAGCATGAACTGCCCGATGATACTTACAGTTTAAAACTTGAGAATGACCTTGAATGTTACGCTACACAAAATGATTTTGGTTTAAATATATTACCTAAAGATGAAGACGGAGCAGACAATAGTAACTTCAGCTTTTTAGATAGTGAATTTAAGGATGAATTTAAAATACGAAATTCTCCACCAAAAAAGAAAAAAAGGCAGACATGTCTGCATTGTCAGAAAGTATTTTTCAAAAGGAAAGTATATGAAAAACATATTGGAGTATGCATAAAAAAAACATTAGATATAAAGACTGAAAGTCATTCTGAAAATCAAGAAGTATACCAGTGTCCGAACTGTGATGTATCATATTCGAAACACCGATCTCTGGCCATGCATATGAAGAAACATAAAAACTCGAATTTTCAGAGTTACATCTGTAATATTTGTTCTAAAAGTTTTACATATAAACATTTACTACGTAGACACATGAAGATTCATGAACAAAAGAGGCAATATGAATGTGGAGAGTGTCATAAATCATTTGTAAGGAAAGACCATTTGACTACCCATGTAATGAGTAATCATGGTGCTTTAAAACCTTACATCTGTCCAATATGCAGAAAAGGTTTGATTTTTCAATATTTATTAACAATGTACTGTTAATATGGAGAATTACAACATGACAACATTTCAACATTCCACCATATACTCTGAGATTTGAGCTCAAAGTTTCCATTTTAATAATGTATCGTTATCTTATCTATGAAAGCAGTCTTAGTACTCATCGATTGACAAACATTTGCTACCTACTTCATTAAATTTCGAATAATTAAGAAAACTCAAGTAAGAATGTAACCTATGCTGTATAAACAATACATTTCAGAAAAGCTGTAAATAGAGTTTGATTTTTTTTATATACCTTGTCAGAGTATTGTTTCTTACTTTTGTATCATATTACAAGTAGTCTTTATTCTGAAACTATTAACTTGGAAACCTATTTGTTTCTTTGAATCAATCATTCTGATTAAACATTACAGTTTTCACCTGAATTATTCTTTCTAGGGCACTTGGTAAACAAATCAATCCCAAGAATTTTATTTTTATAAATATTATGTTTTGTTAATATAACTCAAAGATGTTTCATTTCTTGCATAAGTAAATCAAACAGACACATGGTGGTTTTTAATTAATATCTAATATTTATTTTTTCAGATTTCCCTCAGCAGTGCAACTTAAAAGACCATATAAGAATACATACCGGTGAAACCCCATTCTTGTGCTCGGAGTGCGGGAAGGGCTTTGCTAATGTCTCTAATCTACGGCAGCACGTGTTTCGTCACGCCGGAGTCAAACCATTTACCTGCAACTCCTGTCCCAAATCATTCTGTACTAAAGGTAATTTTAAAATTAATTGGTATTACATTGTTTAGGTTTTTACTTTTTAGAGACCTTTTTCAATCCGTTTCTCTTGCCGTTGTCCTGTCATGGCGAAGAGTTTTAATCTAGACTTAAGAAATCTGGGTACTATTAATAAAAATCCAGTGAAGGTGGGTTAGGTCCTTGGAACATTATGGAGTCGGATCGCAATATATTCCATGCTATTTTCTCTGCGAACGGAAATGTAAGATAGGGTAGGAAAAGGGACCGAACCAGTTTGGAAGTAGGAGCTGGACGTAATCTCCTGCTTCCAACTCTGCGACGACAAATCGATGCACAATGATCTCTTTTTCCCATCTTCTACAGTATCTACTTGCATTTTTGTAAGTTTTGCAAGACTGATGAACCACGACAGTCGCCAATTACGAATCTGATTCTAATTGTGTGACGGTGACGTGAAGCTGCCCATCTCATGCACTCTGCCGTGTCTAGTAAACTCTATTTGAATAGTGCATTTGTTTCAGGACAATTGCAGTGTCACATGTCAACCCACACGGGCCTGCGTCCTTACAAATGTGAAGAGTGTGGCTCTGCGTTCACCAAGCCAGGCTCCTTGAAGAAACATTTGATAATACACACTGGTATAAAACCATACGCCTGCGAATCCTGCAACAGAAGGTGGGTGACTTTGTATTTTACAGTGGGGTAATGTTTCGCAATGCAAACCAAGAAATTTAAGTTTACCATCCTCAGTCTTTTCTTAACAGTTCCGGCAAAAATAGCCAGGGCGGTGCACACTCTCGATGCTCCCCACCAGCATATCGATTCACCTGTGACTTAGTGCGAGTTTTTTAACGTTTTCGATAAGTTAACTTTTTGTATGTAGTTGGAACAGCGCCCCTAGCGGCAAACATTCCAACTCCATACAAATTTGAGTTAACTTTTATTGGAGTTAAAAGTATAGAAACTCCTTATCAAAAGAAAACATATACATAGAAAGAAGTGACAAGAGGTGTCACAAGAATAAGTGAAAAAATGTCTGTCACTTCGTGAAGTAAAATAAAATAAGAAAACTGTGATTTCGATAATAAATTCTAAAACATCGACGTAAATAATACTAATATATAAAAGTGTGTTAGTATATTATTTCGTAACTGCCTGCATTCTGCGATTTAAAGGACCACGCTCTGCTACCAAGAACTTTAAATTATATCAACTTTTACGCTATCGAAAACGTTAAAAAACTCGCACTAAGCACACAGTACCCCTTAAATAATACTCTAGCAATGCACGCAATGTAACACGGTGGCGTCCTATAACTAGTTTGCTTTGCATCGCAATTCTCCAAATAAGACATTTACAAAAAAAATGTTATATCAAACGTTTATAATAAATATTCTTGACAGATTTCTTAAAACGGGCTTATAAAGCTCGAATGAACTTAATGCTCATTTTATTTTGTATGGTCAGCACATTAGGGTAAAAAACTATTTTTGTTTTTTACAATATAGCACATTCAAAACACGCCGGTTAAAAAAGTGGCACTCACCTTCATCTGCTCCCACGGTCTGTCTGGTGGAATTTAGGTACTCCGCACGATATGTTTAGCACGTAATCACACCCGCCCACTGAGTTTTTCGCCGGATCTTCTCAGTGGGTCGCGTTTCCGGTCCGGTGGTAGATTTGCGAAGCACTGCTCTTGCTAGGGCCAGTGTTAGCAACACTCCGGCTTGAGCCCCGTGAGCTCACTTACACGTCAAGGGGAACCTGAAATAGCCTTGAGAACCTATCAGCATAGATAGAAACAAAAAAGAAATCACATCTTTCTTGTTTAAAATAGTAAAACGATATTTTCTCGTTCTCAACAATATATTGTTTTTTTTATTAACGACTTGGTCACCATGGCAACGCCACTGAAGACATTTAATTCTGTTGTAAGAGGTTCGATAGGATTTGAGTGTGCCTGCCACTTGACAGACTTCAAGTCGTCTGCACCTGGTGGACATTTTTAATATGTTTTTTATGTTGCCCTTGTAGGCAGACGAGCATACGACCCACCTGATGGTGAATGGTTACCGTCGCCCATGGGCTTCAGCAATGCCAGGGGCAGAGCCAAGTCGCTGCCTACCGCTAAAAAAATGTGCAAATAAAAAGATTGTCGGGACGATATGTACATACACATTCTTTTCTATTCTTTGAATCGATTGCTTCTGTCGTTGAGTTGTCCTAAACAGTATTCCGTGTCCTTGTCGCAGGTTCACATGCAAAGACCACCTGAAGCGGCACGAGCGCATCCACACCGGGGAGAAGCCGTACCGCTGCACCATGTGCGAGCGCGCCTTCACGCAGAGCAACGACCTGCTCAAGCACGTGCGCTCACACGTCGGACAGAACATATACCAGTCAGTGGCGCCTTTTTTTTTTTTAATACTCTTTTATTAGTCTTAGTCACAAATTAAGTCAAAACTTAATTTTTAAAACTACATTTAAGACTAATAGTATACTCGGTATGAGCGTTAGGATATTTAATAAACTACCAAAGACTAGACGATTTTCATTTTAAGAAAAAACTAAAAGATAATCTTATTAGTGACAATTATTATCACATAAATGATTTTCTTAGGGATGACATTGAAAATAAATGGATTTTTTAATTATTGGTTGAATTATGGATGAATGAATGGTAAATTATATGATATTTTTACTGGTGGTAGGACGTCTTGTTAGTCCGCGCGGGTAGGTACCACCGCCCTGCCTATTTCTGCCGTGAAACAGTAATGCGTTTCGGTTTGAAGGGTGGGGCAGCCGTTGTAACTACTGAGACCTTAGAACTTATATCTCAAGGTGAGTGGTACATTTACGTTGTAGATGTCTATGGACTCCAGTAACCACTTAACGCCAGGTGGGCTGTGAGCTCATCCACTCATCTAAGAAAAAGAAAAAAAAAGTATGTAACGGAATCTTTGAACATGATTTTGACCCCCTTCAAAACGTCGGATTAACTCGAAATTTGGCATACTTATTAAGGACCGGATGACAATTCAAATTTTTTAAAAAATTTAGGAAAATGAAATTCAACTAAAAAATGAAAAATAAATTTGAATTAAAAATAGTGTAAGAAAAAATGATTTTATTGTAAAAAAGCATGGGGTGCTTTTCAGGATATTATCAAAATAACCCTTCTACTCATATCTGTTCATAATATATTTATAACTACTGATACCGTGCACCCACGCTTTTTTTTACAATAAATTATTTTTTCTTACACTATTTTTCATTTAAATTTATTAAAATTTATTTTCAATTTTTTAGTTGGATTTTCTATAAAAGCCTATGTTTTTAGTTTTTTTTAACAATTTTTTTTATGGCTTAGGTGGGTGGACGAGCTCACAGCCCACCTGGTGTTAAGTGGTTACTGGAGCTCATAGACATCTACGACGTAAATGCGCCACCCACCTTGAAATATAAGTTCTAAGGTAAAATAAAAAAGAACAGTATGATAATACATTCCCCACAATACAATACTACATAATAAATTTAATACTAGCTAATACTTTATAATAATAATAACAGTAATCTAAACCAATGTTAACTGTATGATTATTATTCTAGGTGCACAATTTGCGGGGACAAGTTCAGGTTGGCGAGAGAACTGAAACTGCACTATCCAGTCCATTTCGGAGGGCATCAGCCCGATGATCATCAGGGAAGCCAATTGTCCGACCCAAAGGCGCAGGCAGCCGGAGATATCAGCGAAGTACCAAAGAATGATGACCCCGCCTACACAATACTGATACACAGTTGCAACCCCGGGGATATTAGCATTAACGTCAACACCGACAAGAATTAAACACAAAATCAAACAATCAAGAAATTATTTTTTGGGAATTATTTTTTCATACAATACGGAACTGAAACAATTAACACAGTTTATAATCAGTCCATGGAACATGAACTTTGGATACAGTGTATTAGAACGAAGCCAACCGGAGACAACAGAGAAAATCAGCCATAGAAAAACATATCGACGCTTGAAAGGCAAACGTGACTAAGCGACAATAACTACCTTGTACATAAATGATAGGCAATAACCATATTCAATGCGCAAAAAATATATATTTCTAGGTCTATTAAAATCATTTCAATCCTACAACTACTAGCTAGATTCTACTACAGCTAGATTCGTTAAAATATTTTTTTTTCTTTAGGTATTTCAACTTTAAATTAGTCTACTGTAAAGTTCACGCATTGTCGCTTATTCACGTTTGCCTTTCAAGCGTCGAATTATGCTTTTGTTTTTCGATATAAACACGCAATGGCTCTGAGGAATTATTTGAGATGTTTTTCGACATTACGGTGAAATCNACTAGCTAGATTCTACTACAGCTAGATTCGTTAAAATATTTTTTTTTCTTTAGGTATTTCAACTTTAAATTAGTCTACTGTAAAGTTCACGCATTGTCGCTTATTCACGTTTGCCTTTCAAGCGTCGAATTATGCTTTTGTTTTTCGATATAAACACGCAATGGCTCTGAGGAATTATTTGAGATGTTTTTCGACATTACGGTGAAATCGTACTGTAATTGAGTTCATTCACACTGGGACAACAGTGCGTTTCCGTGAAACCAGTTTACCACAAAACATCCGGGATAAACTCTTCCATGGTGTTACCGGAGTGCTTTGGCATATCCATATTCAAATGAGAGTTTGAAGAGGGTCTAGGGAGCTGCTTGGCTGACCACTTACCGTCATATAGACTGTAAGTTCGTCTACCTGTCACGGCATTAGCAAATGCGTTGGCTCTCCCGGAGTGTGTGTAGCTTATTCCCGGTCAAATGCTGTTGTCATGGAATATATATGTCAGTGATCAGATTAAAGTCCTATATATTACTAAAGAGCTATCACAATTACGTATTTAGCCATATTGTGGTGTGGTTTAGAAATACGTTTGTAATAATTAAGATTTTGTTAGTTACTCGATTAATTTTATAAATAAATAAATAAATGTACAGTGGAATTAAGAATGTGATGACCAACTATTTTAGCGAAGCAGAAGAATAATATGTACATATTTAATATGAAACTGTTGTAAACGATGTAATTTTTCAATAAAATTTCCGACTTCAAAGACCAGCGTCTTGAACGTTTTTAAATATTTAATTTGTAAAATATTAAATAGCATTAATTCGCAAGTCGGAAATTATTTCCTATAAGTGTGATACATATTATGGAAAAAGTTTAATGGACATATATTTTACAGCTGTCAAGTTATTTCTATTAAAATAATCGTTACGTTTTATACGTTGTTCTGATAATACGATCTAATTGTCGCCCTATCCGGATTCTACTGTATTGTGATATTAGTTTATTGCCATAAGGCAAAATCGCCTTATTAGTGTACGGTCACACGTAGCTCTCTTTTATAATAATTATAGTATTATTACCTAAACAAAAATAATAAATCGATCTAATGTTCATATATGGTATAAGTGATTTATAGATTTTACTAAAACATATAAAATCTACAAATAAATATATGTAATATTGAATGACGTCTTATTTCGTACAAATTTCGGTATGTAAAGTTTTACTTGGCCGTTTTTGCTCTAATGAAATTATTATTTGTTTTACATTCCCCGCTAATTGGTTTGAAAAAAGCAATGGAATATTTGTAGTGCCTATATTATTAGTGATAATCTATGGTCGCGACTTGGCCTTCAAAGGTCATTAAATTTCTGATTTTGTCATAATATATTCGAACCTAATTTTGTCGTGAACACAGAGTGTATTTATATTAATTGTATCCTCCGTTCGGTATAGGATATTAATAATTACCTCTTGGCGCCGCAGAAGATATTTACCGGTAAAATGAGTTCGGTTGAGTTTAGATAGATTTACATAATCAAACGAATAAGCCAGGACCGACAAAATATTCGTATTAGATCCTGCGGCGAGTCATTTTAATAGTTTTGACTTTTTACGCCATTTCGCTGTAGTGAGGATCTGAGGTGCCTTATTTTACTCCATCGTTTGGAGTGTGTCTTAACATCTAATGTACATTTGCTACGTTAAAACAACAGACAGTTTACAATAGCAATCAAAAAAATATAATTAAAAACAAAAACTACATATACAAGCTAGATAAGCTAATTTCATCATTTAATTTTCAGCTGCTCCATAGAATATAAACTGCAAGCAGAAGATATAATCGTATAAATTGTAATAAATTAGGTGTCAGAAGTACATATTGTTTGGTTATTAAAGGAATAATTATAAAAAATTAAAAACAATAAGTTTATGATAATAGATTGAGGTGAATAAAAATGTAATAAGATTTATTAGATGTGTACAATTTGTGTTTTATTTCAATACTCATGGCATTTTTTTTAACTATCGACCACAAACAGTTTCACGAGCTTGCAACATTAAGTGCCATAAAACCAGGCTTGTGGATAGTTCCTTAAAAATTCGCTTAAGGGTGAATGTTATATGTAAATGACTTAAATCATTTAAGTTCTATGCCCTAAACACGTCATTACGAATCCTCCCGATCCATTAACGATCCTTTTAGGTACCTCGCCGAACCCGTCGCTGGCGACAAAGGGCTCGGCTAGTAAATTAGCCCACTGAGTTTCTCGCTGGATCTTCTCCGTGGGCTGCGTTTCCGATCCGATGGTAGATTCTGCGAAGCACTGCTTTTGCTGAGGCCAGTGTTAGCAACACCTCCGGCTTGAGCCCCGAGAGTTCATCTACACGCTAGGGCAACGCAGCCTCTCAAGGCTATCAGCATAGGGAGAAAAAAAAAAGTTCTATAACGTTATTACAATTGACATCAATAAAATGTTGTTACTGTTAGTTTCTATAATTATATTGAATAATTTATATAAGTACTTGCAATTAAGTGATTGAGATCATTATGCAACATTCGAGGCCTCCCCAATAAAGCACAGTACGGAAGGGACCCGAAATTATGCTGAAGTTTAATTTGATATTACTTTTTTTATTATCGTGGGTAGGCATCGCGTTGATTAGCCGCGGTATTCTCTCGTACTGCTGATGTAACAATTAGTCTTCGAAAAACCAGTTTCCTTCGGGCGACATGACAGGTAAATACAGCATGTTGTCTTTTGTCAAAATTTCGTTGAAAAACTGCCCCTTCAGTATTTAACCTTCTCTTATCTTATCTTATCGGTGAACTGGGATTTGATTTTTGGTATAACAATTAGTTTTAATGTAATCTTACTTGCCACTTATAAATTCGGTCTACGTAGTTCGTTTATAGGTTAAGCTACCAACAGCATTGGAAGAATTGCCAACGGTTTATGCTGTTATATCTCTAAAATGAATTCTAGTAGTTCTAATGAAGTAACTACTTTAAGTTGAATAGTTTTTGAAACGACAAACAGCCTCTGTTCAAAAAATAGTTGTTAAACATTAATCCGCCACACACCTTGACATGAGGAAGAGGTCTGAATTATTTGATAGCTAGCAAGCCCCACAAACTGTTACAAATGGCTTCGCGGCGGACATTGGTGAGTTCGTTGTATCTACTCATGAGGGCTACCATCACTAAAAGTACTAAAACATTGTAATGTTGCTGTCTGAATTTATTACATGTTCCTGATTTAAAAAAAGACCTTTCGCCTTGGCAGAAATCTTCAGAATTGGTATGGTTTGGTAGTGAAGTCGTCGTGGCCTAAGGGATAATACGTCCGGTGCATTCTTGTTCAGCGATGTACCGTTCACGTACTCAACAAATGTTCACGATTAACTTCCACGTAGAAGGAACAACATCGTGTAATAAAAATGAAACCCGCAAAATTATAATTTGCGTAATTACTGGTGGTAGGACCTCTTGTGAGTCCGGGCGAGTAGGTACCACCGTCCTGCCTATTTCTGTCGTGAAGCAGTAATGCGTTTCGGTTTGAAGGGTGGGGCAGCCGTTGTAACTATACTGAGATCTTAGTACTTATATCTCAAGATGGGTGGCGCATTTACATTGTAGATGTCTATGGGCTCCAGTAACCACTTAACACCAGGCGGGCTGTAAGCTAGTCCACCCATCTAAGCAAAAAAAAAAAACTACCATTCATTGGAATTTCAACTTCATGTAGCTACCAAAGTGACTTGATCGTATGTGCTTCCACGTTGTGACACTTCAACGCCCGCTGGATGTTAGACTATCAATCGGGCAAGACTGAATTCGTCTGCCCAAATACAAAAAACTAATTACTAAATTGAGGACATCCAACAATTTGGTATTTTTCTTCTAACAAATATACAGCTCTGAAAAGACTGCATCGTCGTAATTCCTTTCAAAATGGATCTTCAGGCCAGATCCCTGGTTGAAATAAATCACTATTCCATAGATAATATACGATGGTGATAGCGAAGAAGGCGCCGGCGTGTCCTCCCGGCCATGGGGATTAAACGCACGAGTACACTCCATATAAAACCCCACTTGTCCTTCTGAGACTTCGAGTCATAAATTTCAAGATGTGGCAAACTCGATTTTTATTGATTTTTTTTATAGGCTCGTATTAGGTGTGAACTTAATTGTATGTGTTTATATCTACCTAAATATCAATAATCCCTTAAGTTTTAACCGACTTCAATAAAGGGGGAGGTCCTCAATTCTACTGTTTTTTTTATTGTGTGTTACCTGGACGGTTTTTTTTTATGCATAAATAGATTTTGGTAATTCAACCAGAAATCTTCAGAATTGGTATGGTTTGGTAGTGAAGTCGTCGTGGCATAAGGGATAATACGTCCGGTGCATTCTTGTTCAGCGATGCACCGTTCACGTACTCAACAAATGTTCACGATTGACTTCCACGATGAAGGAACAACATCGTGTAATAAAAATCAATCCCGCAAAATTATAATTTGCGTAATTACTGGTGGTAGGACCTCTTGTGAGTCCGCACGGGTAGGTACCACCGCCCCGCCTATTTCTGCCGTGAAGCAGTAATGCGTTTCGATTTGAAGGGTGGGGCAGCCGTTGTAACCATAAGGTTGTAACTATACTGAGATCTTAGTACTTATATCTCAAGATGGGTGGCGCATTTACGTTGTAGATGTATATGGGCTCCAGTAACCACTTAACACCAGGTGGGCTGGGAGCTCATCCACACATCTAAGCAATAAAAAAAAGGCGAATTTATAAGACACCGCACACAATCCTTTAAGGTTTTTGTGACACTTGATGTTGTAAATATGTTTCTAATTGATAATTAAAAAAAAATAAGCAGAGGTTTCTTACTACGGACAATTAGGTAATACAGCGCCATAGAAAGCCGGTGTGGCATACCGAAATATTTTGATTTGAATACCACTTTAATTTTTTCTTAAACTATGATGTTCCAACGGTCTACTTCCTAAGATATTAGCGAGCGAATAGTCAACATTGAATCGGAGTTGAACTATACTGCGTCCTCAGTTATAAATTATTTAAATTGCGTAAAAAAATGTTGTCATTTTATGTTTCACTCAATCATGGTAATTGTCAAAATATTCTGTCTTTAATGATGCGATGCTATACTATGCTACTGGGTTCTACTAGGTTCAAGACAAGTAAAAATGTAACTGTAAATGAATTGATTAGACGAATTAAACCGTGGAGTACAAAGCGAAGGGTAGGGCCTGTTGTGAGTCCATACAGGTAAGAACCATTTGTAACCTCTGGGTCTGCGGAGGTACTTCGGTTCCCTCTCTATTTTGTACCGTATGATCCATGGGGAGTGCTCTGAGGAATTGTTTGAGATGATACCATCATCTCGTTCTTACCATCGCACCGCCCGCCACCGGAGTAGAGTTCATCCATCCTACCTGGAGCCACTGCGTTCATCCACAGTGCGTTTTCAGAGATCTTTTTTGCTACGGTGTTTCCCGAGCACTATGACATATCCTTCTTCAGACGAAGCTTGTAGAGAGTACTTAACGGTAGGCAGCGACTTGGACCCTGGCACTGCTGAAATCCATGGGCAATGGTAACCACTCACCATCAGGTGGGCCGTATGCTCGTCTGCCTACAAGGACAATAAAAAAAAAACCACCAACCTACCCATTTCTGCCGTGAAACAGTAATGCGTTTCGGTTTGAAGGGCGGGGCGGCCGTTGTACTGTAAAAACTGAGACCTTAGAACTCGTGTCTCGAGTTTGGTTACGGCATTTACGTTGTCTATGGTTTCCAGTAGCCATTTAACACCAGGTGAGCCGTGAGCTCGTCCAGCCATCCAGAATAATGGTATTATAATCGTATTCCGAGCTCGCACGTTTAGTACAATACAATCCAGGTGGAAACTACCGTAAACTAGCTTTGCGATTAGGTTTGAAAGTCAAAGCGAGGGATGGCCTGGAAAGTAGCATGACCTACGACATAGTTTTGCTTTTTAATAATTCACAGGGGATGTGTTTAGATCAAATCGATACTTTAATAAATGAAGATAATACGCCCGTTCAATGGTATAGAAGCGTACATGGTGATGATAAAATTATCAGACGGTCAATTTGGTCTGAGATGCCTAATTTATTTAACACTAGCCTCCCGATCGAGGCTTCACTTGCGTCGACTATGTGAAGTTTAAGTGAAAAATTTGAAAAATTGAATAAATCAATGTAATTAATTATTGCAATCAAATTAAAATTACTTCCAACTTTTCATTCCTTACTGCTAGTTCGGTGGAAGAGCTCTTGGCCCGTCTCTTACATGAGAAATAAGTTAAAAAAGTGTCTAGCTGTAAGCAGTAAAATACAAAACACAAACCCCCTAAAATAGCGCAGCGTAGCCGTGGTATTATATGAATTTAGCACCTGTAAACGAAGTGAAGTGTGCTGAAATTACACTTCTTCCTACGATGGCCCTACCCTAATTGGTCGTTTTACGATGGTCACTCTTTCATGACTGTGTGTACTCATTGTCTACTCTCCATAACCGGAAACCAGAACTGCTTTACGAGAGTAAAATACAAGATGTAGGTACATATGTACCCGTGTGAGAATGCAACACACAAAAGTACAACATTAGGCTTTTCCCGTGCTACCAGCACATATTTCTTTTTAATAGCATATTCCTTTACATTAGTCAACCCTAGTCGTTTAAATAAAATCAAAAAATTACTCTTTCAAAATATAGACATCGTGTTCTCAAACAACTACCAGTCATTCTTTTAACAAGCAAAACCAGGGTTATTCTCATGACTTTCATTCACTGCTTGTCGCATACGTTGTGGAACTGAATAATTTACACAGCAAGTATTTCTTTTACTGTTTTGCTGGCATTGTCGGTAATTTCGGGTGGACTGTCCGAAATTACCAATAATGGCAGCAAAACTTAATTTAATCTATATCTAATTGTTTCAGCACTGTATGTAGTTGCTAGGTACGTGTAACTGTTTTAATTAAGTTTGAGATTAGTTTATGTGTTACCTGTAATGTTTTCTACTGATGTATGTTGGTACTCAATAAATAAACAATGACGTTTGATACGCCTGAATAGAAAAAGTGAAATAAGAGCAAGAACAAAAACAAAATTAAGTATTCCCATGACACAGATTGAGCATTCTTTTATTTTATTCGGAATTGATACCTATTGTATCTTTCAATAACAGCTGATTCTCTGCATACTCGATATTGTAGGCATTAACAAATATGTGAGTACTTCTTTATTCTATGAGACAGGGCGGGCGGCGCGAACCGAGGAATTCAGCCCCTTATCAGTGCGCACCGAGAGCCCGCGGCAGCCACACGAGGTTAGTAAACCAATACTAATATTCTAATTTAAAATTCTTGTAATCCATTTATCAATTATACTGGTGGTTTTTTTTCTATCACATATTAGACAGGGTTGTCAGGTGACTATTTTCTTAAGGATGTCCATATTGTTTTCCTTTAAATATAGAACTTTGATGGATATTCATTATTTATGTAGTCACTGAGAATTTTGTAATTGTTATTATCTTCTTCTACTAGCCAACGCCTCTCCGTAGGTTCCTACAATAGCAATAATATCGGAGAGACAGGTGCAAATAAACATTGATTAACTTTAATGAATTCAACAAAATGAATCCACTGAAATGAGTACTGTAATAAATATCTCAACATAGATAGTTTAAACTAAGTTAAACAAAGACGAATAATTTTATTAAAATATTTTCGATACCTACAGAATAGAAATAGTATTATGAAAAAGTAGGGTAACTTTCCTTGTATAGGTACACTTATATTTACCTGGCAACACTAAGCAACTAACAAAGAATTTTATTGAAATTTGTTTCGAAGACCGTTCTTCTGTGTGTTGTAGACCTGACTGGGATTCATTCGTCTATTGAGGTAAATCTATGCGGGAATGAACGGGATCGATAGGAGGCGAGCTCATTGTTACCTAAAGAGAATTAGTTTCCCACATTCATTTGACGTACAAATTGCGATCTAAATTTTATTGAGTTAAAGACTGTTTTCCTAATTTACTGGTTAACTAAATAATAAATTAATGTTAGTTAAATGACAATCATAGTGCCTTACAACAATATTTGGGAGCTTCGTGTTCCGTATTAAATAAATTTAAGTTTGGCCCGGACTTGTTTTTCATTTTTTTAACTTTATGCACAAGAGTACAGAGTTGAATTTAATTCTTAAAGAATTACCTATCAGTCAACCATGGGTGCATTCCTTTTTGAGAAAAAATCTTATAAAGGACTTTATACTAACACAAACATTATAACGCAGTCCTTATAGTAATAATAATATACAGTTTACATATTTAAATATACATTCTCCTACGTATTTAAATTCCTATATATACATATAAATCATACACTTAATACAACACAGACTTCTATTAAATAATACAAACTTTTCTACTTGTGATAGTGCCGATAATGGTAAATAACAATTAATAATGTTTATACTCCACCAATTGAAAATTTTAACATAATTATATTATGTATTTCTTTCTGAAATTTTACTTTTCGTGAGCCAGCAATGTATATTGCGGCGGACGTCGCCCGTTGTCACACGGGTTTTTGAACCTTTGTGACGGGCGATCTTTGGTTGTATTACAATGCGTGCCTGCATCGTCTAGAAATCTTTAGTAAATTATTATTATATTATATTTTTTTCGCGATATATATAGAACCGGTTTTCGTTTTGGGAAATAACATCCCCTACGTTTTATTTAAAGTGAACTAGACTGTAAAAATTAATTATGTTGCATTAATTGATCAAAGCGCATGGGTCTTATCTCTTATGACGTAGTATGTCCAATATGAGCAGATGAACGTATTGATTTTAAATTCTGAAACAGATAATATTCATCTATCTCTTATAATAAAATATAGGTATCTATTTAAGATATTTAATTTTATTCATAACATTTAAAATTTTATTCATCTTATAAAAAAAACATATTAATTTCATTATTCAAAACAACAACTCTGACAGCGCGTCATAAGGATGCTAAAGATTTATTTTGTCAATTGAATGGTTACTTTCTTCTGTGTACAGTAAAGTACAGGATAGCATAAATCTAATATATGAGTCGACTATTATCAAAGCCGGCAATGTGACTTTTGGACAATTATTGGTAAATCAGAAAAACGAATTATTGACTTTGTATTCCATTGGTAGTCACAAAACTCTTCTGAACGACATGTTAGATAAATAACAGGTTAAGTATTAACCTTTATTTAATGCAGGTTTTGAACCGTATTCTTTGAAGGAGACGATTATATTCAAATCAATCTGTATTGACATATCAATAACATTTTTTTGTCCAAATGCACAGATTGCCACCTTTGATAATACACGACTCATATATAAAATTCTCGTGTCACAATGTTCGTTCCCATACTCCTCCGAAACCGCTTGACTGATTCTCATGAAATTTTTTATGCATATTCAGTAAGCCTGAGAATCGGCTACTATCTATTTTTCATACCCCTAAGTGATTAGGGTTGTCCACCCCTAACATATTTTTTTTTATTTGGACATTTTTTTTTGTTATAATGAGGTATTATGTGGTTGAATGAGGTTTTGTTATTTTATTATATATTCCCTCATCGCTCACAGCACTACATACCTCTTTCACTCATTTACCACATCTTTACACACTTACAATAAGTTAGTTTTTTTTTCTACACTAGAAATTCCCTAGAAATCTTATATATGGCAAAACAATGTTTACCGGGTCAGCTAGTAATAATATAAAATAGTACCATCGATACGAGGAATTGTATTGAGATTGAAATTTATATGCACATTTATTCAAATGACAAACGTCACGAAGGATCGATTTTCATTCTTCCGGCCTTTCGCTTCCCCTCACACCAAAGGCCACAATGTAAACTCGATTTGAACTAAGACGATATCATGCAACAGGTTGAAATTTACGACGGCTGTCACAGAAAAGTAAATCGTACGAATATGAAATTAAGGCTCATGAAATCTGCACGAGTATTAATTTTATGTTTTTTTTTCGTATAATTTCATCAAATTATGTTTTCCTTTGGAGCAATATTAGATTGTTACTGGTGGTAGGACTTCTTGTGAGTCCGCGCGGGTAGGTACCACCACCCTGCCTATTTCTGCCGTGAAGCAGTAATGCGTTTCGGTTTGAAGGGTGGGGCAGCCGTTGTAACTATACTGAGACGTTAGAACTTATATCTCAAGGTGGGTGATGCATTTACGTTGTTGATGTCTATGGGCTCCAGTAACCACTTAACACCAGGTGGGCTGTGAGCTCGTCCTCCCATCTAAGCAATAAATAAAAAAAAGACTACGGAGTAAATAAACGTACATCCAAACATTAAATCAGTAACTAAATAAGAAATAGGAAAATCATATTTTACTCATTAAAATGTTTTGTGAATGATTGTGGAGCTTAATTTTATTTTGTTCAAATACAGTTAGTATCTAATAAGATTTATTTCAAAATTCCAGTCAGTTGACTGACAGACTACATCTTGAAAATTTTATCGACCGGTGTACGCAATAAATAAAGAAACATGCAATTATAAAATACAGATTTATAACAGAAGTGGGAATCATGTAAATTATGCAATAAGCTATTGTCATTAGACCTGTTGCATTTTGGTCTCTCAGTTCCATAATTTCATAATGAACAGTAAATGTTAACATTAAAAATAAATCGATTAACAAATTCCTGGTCTGATCCATCCCGATCCGTCAACAGCACACACAAAACGATTCAATTCTCGTCGTCACGTCAAATATTTCCACATTAATACTCATAATACGGGCGCTGCCATCCGGGGGTACATTCCGCCTGTTTTCTCGACAAAGCCTTCCCCTCAAAACCCTCCCCGACAGGGCCTGTCTGTACCCTCTCCTCATCCTCGAAGGCGCCGGCCCGCTGTGAGGCGCGCGAGGAAGATTTATTACCCTCAGATATCATACACGAGGATTTGTAAAGAAAATTTTACGGGACAGTTACACAAACCCAAAGCGTTTTGCGAAGTAATGAAGTCTTTTATTCGTCAAATGTTTAATGTCTTTTTATACGATTTGAAATAAATCAAGAAAAAAATAATTCTAATTATTGTAATGATACAATGATGATTTTTCGTCGTGAAGCGATTATGAATCTTTGATTTTGATTATAAGAATCATAATAACAACATATAACAAATAGAACTTAATTATTTTCATGTCTGTCATAAAAATATTTTGTTTAATGCTTAGGTAGGTGAACGATCTCACAGTTCACGGAAGTCTCAGTTTTGGCAGCGGCTTGGCTCTGCCCCTGGCATTGCTGAAGTCCATGGGCGACAATAACCGCTCACCATCAGGTGGGCCGTGCCTAAAAGGGCAATAAAAAAAAAAAAAAAAAAATTGTAGTACAACGGCTGCCCCACCCTTGAAACCGAAGCGAATTATTGTTTCACGGCAGAAATTAACGGGGTAGTGGTACTTACTACTCCTGCGGGCTCATAAGATTTTCTACCACCAGTAAGCTCCTAGCAAAATTTTCTTTTGCTGATTTCATTTTTATTTCTGTTATTAATGTTTTTTTATTGCATAGACGGGTGGACGAGCTCACAGCCCACCTGGTGTTAAGTGGTTACTGGAGCCCATAGACATCCACAACGTAAATGCCACCACCCGCCTTAAGATATGAGTTCTAAGGTTTCAGTATAGTTACAACGGCTGCCCCACTCTTCAAACCGAAACGCATTACTGCTTCACGGCAGAAATAAACACGTTGGTGGTACCTACCCGTGTGGGCTCACAAGAGGTCCTACCACCAGTAATTACGCAAATTATATTTTTCCGGGTTTGATTTTTATTACACGATGTTATTCCTTCACCGTGGAAGTTAATCGTGAACGTTTGTTAAGTACGTATTTCATTAATCTAACCTGACGACGGACCCCAGTATCCAGGCTACGACACACACGCACCTACCCCGTTTTTGGCTCTGTTAAGAGACCAACGGTACTTATAAAATAATCGGATGGTACATTAAAATGTTAATTACAATAACGTAATTTCATACATACGAAGAATAATAATAAATTGGAATCTTCGATCTTCAAAACAGATTGGGTAAAAGTAACAAAATACGCTTTTATAGAAAATCCAACTAAAAAATAGAAAATAATTTTTAATAAATTTGAATTAAAAATAGTGTAAGAAAAAATGATTTTATTGTAAAAAAAGCTTGGGGTGCATGGTATCAGTAGTTATAAATATTTTATGAACAGATATGAGTAGAAGGGTTATGTTGATTATATCCTGAAAAGCACCCCATGCTTTTTTAGTTGAATTTCAATTTTTTCAATATTTTTTTTAATATTGAATTGTCATCGGTCCTTAATAAGTATACCAAATTTTGAGTTAATCCGACGTTTTGAAGGGAGTCAAAATCATGTTCAAAGATTCCGTTACAAACATACATAGGTACGTCTGAAGCTAATAAAAGCGTATTAAAAACGGAAGTATCATTCATTAATTATCATTTGATGGTGTATTCTTTTTCGCTTATGAGTATCCGAAACTGTTTTATGAAGCGAACTTGTTTACAGTTTAGCAACAATCTGATTAGTGTTATAAGTCTTGGAAGAAGTTCGATCGGCCTTGACCGTGGGTAGGCGCCCCTTTGTAGACACGGCCCTGAGCATTTAAACTTACCTACTATTCTGAATAAGTCTGTCAACTTCTATGTAGTCGTATCGTTCTAGTTATCAAATGGCGGAAATATAATATTGTGAGTTTTTTGTCGGATCTTCGCAGTAGGTCGCGATTCTAATTCGACGGTAGATTCAGTGAAGCAATACTCTTGCTAGATGAGATTTTAACAAACTCGAGGCCCGTGAGGTCGCCCACCAGACAGCGTGAAGTATACTATAATATTTACGGATTACGGCTACACAATGACCGAAACCTAAAATATAATATGAGGTAAAATTGAGATTTTAAAAGGCAACATTAACAAACCAATCTAAAAATAGTAAAAAAAGAATCTTGATCAACCAATTGTATGTGGTTACGGGAGCCCTATCAATCATGTCAATCCTATCAAACTGAACCGAGGTGTTAAAATAGATGTCGAAGAAGCAATATTTTAATCATTTTTCTATATCGTTCCCTCAGTGCTGAGGATCGCGACCACATGTGACGTTCCTCCACTGTGTTCGATCATGGGTGCTACGGACCGCATGGTACAGACTACCACCAAGTACTTCTCTTACTAGATCTGACCATCTGGCTGGTGTTCTGCCCACGGCGCGCTTGCCCTCTATGCGGCCCGTATTTATGAGCTGCACTATGTCTGGGAGACCGCATGATGTGTCCGAAGAAGCTCATAGTACGTGTATATTTAATCATAGTTATAATCAATTTGATTAGTTTCAGAGATGGCGGACTTCGTAGTCGTGATGCCGTCGATGAAGGACGCCGTGATCCAGCACCTACGGGACAGCTTCTTCGCCGACGAACCCCTCAATAAGGCGGTGGGGCTCTGCGAGAGGGGCCAACCACACGCGGCCTTAGAACGTCTTTGCCTCGCAACTATGACCGATGGTCTTTCTATTGCTGCGATGGACGGTGACAAGGTGGATAGAACAGCGACTAATACTTTTTTTTTATTGCTTTTGCTTCTAAAGCGTAAATGCGCCACCCACCTTGAGATATAAATTCTAAGGTCTCAAGTATAGTTACAACGGCTGCCCCATAAGCTTATCCATTTTGACTTTACGAGCGAATTGAATGTCTTTGTAGGCAGACGAGCATACAGCCTACCTCATGGTGAGTGCTTATCGTCGCTCATGGATGTCAGTAATGCCAGGGGCAGTCTGGCTCCTACCTACCGACGTGTTACTCCCTGCAAGTTGTTCTTATTACTATGTTGTGTTGATCCCAGGTGTTAGGCGTTGCTCTGAACGGCATTTTATGACACGGCGACATCGAGCAGTCGATCGAGAAGATAAAGCAGTCCACCGACGAGAAGTTCAACAAGATATTCAACATTCTGTACACTGTCAGCCGGGATTTGAACCTCTTCAATACTTTTGAGGTTAAATATATAATATATATATTTTTTGTTAATTAAGTATATGCCGATTGAGCTCATGACCTGCAAGATTCTCTCTGGTCTTTTTTTTTATTGCTAGACGGGTAGACGAGTTCACAGCCCACCTGGTGTTAAGTGGTTACTGGAGTCCATAGACATCTACGACGTAAATGCGCCACCCGCCTTGAGATATAAGTTCACGGTAGAAATAGGCAGGGCGGTGGCACCTACCCGCGCGGACTCACAAAAGGTCCTACCACCAGTAATACCGTCACCGGTCACCGTAGTCCAAGAAAATCACGACTTAAATTGCACCAATCCATTGAGGTATATCGTACATCGACAATCCCATCCTTAACCCAAACTGTTTGGGGTGTGGTCCGTATCAGCCAGCGCGGGCTTGCCCTACCAACCGCTTTTTAGTGCATAGACCGGTTACATATATACGAAGACGAAGTCACGGCCCACATGTAGTTAAGTGGTTTCTGAAGGCACCTCGAGACGTGAGTCTAAATCTCAATTGTATTACCCTTCAAAACGGAATCCTTCGACCTTAAGCAGAAATGAGTAGGCTGGTACCTACATGTGTGAGCACACAGAGAGCTAATAAATAAAACACACACAATATCATTCCTTCATAATGGAAGATGATCGTGAACATATCTTAAGTACTCATGCCCTTAGTAAAATTAATACCCTCTTATAAGTAAATCCGGCGTCATGTTACTTTATTTGGTTTATTGCTTTCAAATCTACAGTTGTGCTACTCTATACTAATATATAAATCTACAGTGCTTTTTACGGATGTTCCGTTATAACTACTGAACCATGCATCCGATTGATTTGAAACTTGGTATCCATGTAGAAAATACATGTACTTAATGGATACACTAATATTTATATGAGTGTTGGACTCCCAACACCAGTTGCGGGGGCGTTAATGATGAGAATTTTTGTGGGGGTGAGAAATTATAATGTTAATTTTAAATGCCCAGCGAACCGGACGAGTACAGCTATTTTAAGTATCATCATCATCATTATCCTGCCCTACTCCCAGTCACCTGGGGTCGGCGCAACATGTTTCTCCTTCCATACTCTTCTATCATGTACCATTTCTTCGCTCACTCCCCTCTTACCCATATCGTCTTTCACGCAAGCCATCCATTTCTTCTTAGGTCTACCTCTTCCTCTATATCCTTCCACATTCATAGTTAACATTCTCTTACCGACCTCATTTTCATTTCGTCTCATTACATGTCCATACCATCCCAAACGCGCACTTCTCAGCTTCTCTGTCACAGGTGCCACTTTCACTTAGAGCAGCTAGTTTAAGTATAAAATCATATGTATCACAGTTTCTAAATATCTTTCTTATAACGTACCGTCCGGCTCTGGAATTAACTCTTCTTCGGGGTCTTCCCGAGCGCTATGACATGTCCTTCTTCTACGTGTTTTTAGCTAACCTATTTGATATTTTCAGGTGGATCTAATCATGGAGTGCCGGATCATATCAGTACACGAGAACGCTCGTGGACGTGGTCTCGCCAAGGAGCTGATGAAACGAAGCATCGATCTTGCCAGGGATAATGAGTTCAAAGTTTGTTTGTTGCTTTATTTTGATGTGGTGTTTCTTAATGGTGGTAGGATATCTTGTCAGCCCGGGTGGTACCACCACTTGTCTATTTCTGCCGTGAAGCAGTAATGCCTTTCGGTCTTGAAGGTTGAGCAGACGTTGTACTGTAAAATTGAGACTTAGAACTCATGTGTGGTAAAATTTACGCTGTTGATGTCTATGGGCCCGGATAACCACAAAAAACCAAGTGGATCGTGAGCTCGTTCACCCAACGAAGCAATAAAAAATCTGTGATAGTAATTTTTTTTTTGTCTTGAAGTGGTACTTAAAACTTGTAAACTTTACAGTAATATTGAGTTAAGAACGTAATAATTTATAGACCACCATTAATTCTCTTTATGTTAATGTTTTGAAACATCTTGTTAGTTGGTCTATTAAATCGTTGTCAAAAACGCTATTATAAAACGCAAATAAGCAAATGATTTAGCAAAACAAAATGAGGAGGTAGCTGAGATAAGCTTGTCGGTAATCAATATTTCGAACATTACAAATTGGAGCTTAAGCTCGTCACTTTTAAAAACACGCCTGCGACAGAAAATGCATGTTCATGATTAATTCTGTTACGCGCTGGGGTTCGGGATAAATAAAATTCCACCGAAAGTATAAATAACAAATTGTATTCAACACTTGGAAAAAACACTCAACAAACGCTTTACAATTCTCAATTCGCTTCTTCCGCTTCGCTTCAGGTGTTTTTTTTATTTTTTTATTTTTATTGCTTGGATGGGGTAGACGAGCTCACCGCCCACCTGGCGTTAAGTGGTTACTGGAGCCCATAGACATGCACAACGTAAATGCGCCACCCACCTTGAGATACAAGTTCTAAGGTCTCAAGTATAGTTACAACCGCTGCCCCACCCTTCAAACCGAAACGCATAACTGCTTCACGGCAGAAATAGGCAGGGCGGTGGTACCTACCCGTGCGGACTCACAAGAGGTCCTACCACCAGTAATTACGCAAATTATAATTTTGCGGGTTTCATTTTTATTACACGATGTTATTCCTTCACCGTGGAAGTCAATCGTAAACATTTATTGAGTACATATTTCATTAGAAAAATTGGTACCCGCCTGAGATTCGAACACCGGTGCATCGCTCAACACGAATGCACCGGACGTCTTATCCGTTAGGCCACGACGACTTCATCTTCTCTTTCGCTTCGAGTAGTTCCGATTACTCACTGACTGCGTGCCATCTCTGCAACGCTTTTATAGCCGATACTACATCCCTAGAATTATCGAGAATATTCCACACATTTCGAGTATTGTGTTTCCGCTATCTGACAATAGATAGCGTTGCACTTCTCGAGCGTTCTAAATGCTACTAGATCCTTCGATACTCGTTCGACTATTCGGCGTTACTCTTACCAGCGTAACAATTTTATACAGTAAAAGCTGTTTATTCGCGGGGTATAAGTTCCGTAAATATGCCGCGAATTCAGAAACCCAAAATATGGAAAGGCGCGTTTACAAGTTGGATACTTACATATTGGAACCCTTTTTATCGATCTGTATGTTCCGATGAATTGATTTCATCTGCGTATAAAGAAATCTTTAGCCGCGAACATAGGAATTGGGTCGCATTCTTTTAATCTGCGAATAGTGAAAACGCGAATAAAAGAAGCGCGAATAAGGAGCTTTTACTGTACTTTGTAGCGTAATTAGTGTTATCTTTACATTCCCAATCCTGCGGACCGAATGGTGAACAGTCGACGTCGCCCTAAGCACGTCATTTCGGATCCTCCCGATCCACTAACGGTGCTTTAGGTACCTAAAATCACCGGTCCTCGTTTTCGTCGAACCCGTCGCTTGCGACGAAAGACTCGGCGGGTAAATTAACCCACAGATACAGCCCACTGAGTTTCTCGCCGGATCTTCTCAGTGGGTCGCGTTACCGATCCGGTGGTAGATTCTGAGAAGCACCGCTCTTGCTAGGACTATTGTTAGAAGCGTTATCAGGTTTGAGCCCACTTATTAATTCGGCGGATCTAATATAACCCCTCGAGGTTATTAGAATAGGTTGGACAAAAAAAAGTTCTATATTAATTCACCGAAGTTCTTCATTTCTGTGTTTGTATAATAACTGATTCTCTTTTTCCAGTTGTTCAAGGTAGACGCAACGGGCGCATTTTCTCAACGCATTTGCAGGAGCCTAGGCCTCGAAGAGCTTAAAAGCGTCCGCTACGATGAGTACTGTGATGAGAGTGGAACACCTATTTTTAGAGTTCCGCCACCGCACCACGCCCTCTGTGTTATGATTTTGAAACTTCCATGAATAGTTTCAGTATGTGAATACTAGATGTCGCTTTCGTTTAAATATACAACCGTTTTAATAAATTAAATTATTTCATTTCCAGATGATAGATTCATAGATTTTGAAAATTTTATATATTTTAGTAGTACATATTTTAAGCTGTGTAAGCTTATAGTACCGGGATTGTTTAAATGTACTTTGGATCAAACTGGTTATGAGCGCAATGGAGATAATAGCAGAAACGTATCTATGTACAAGGGATGTATTAAGTTTATTTTAGTTAAATCCGCAATCTGTCTTTTATTACTGTCGTTATTGATTCCGTTACCGTTGTTACTATGTACGTTATGGTTGCCTAAAAGATATCGCTAATAGCGATAAGTTGTGAATTGCTTATTTTCATGAATAAAGTTTTATCTAAATTCCTATATCTGTGTCACACACAGAAACACAAACAGTGGTATAAATATTATTACTAATACATACGTAAAATGTAGCTGGAACCAATCTAACTCATCGCTATCAATAATTAATGTTAAATAGAGGCAATTTAAAATAATTTTATTGAAGTTACGAAAAAGCATTTTGATTAAGAGTAAAAAATATTTTTTTTGTTGTAACTTTGGTGATTCTATTCAACAAATAAATTGCTTCCAGTGAGAAGATCTAGTATACTCATTACCTGGTATATTACTAGTTTGTAGTATTCATGTTTGATAGTACTATTTTATTATTTTGTAGAACATTTACCATATTTTGGGAGTAGTTGTCTACATATTGTATCGTAGATGTCTCTAAAATGGCACAAATTATCTATATTCTGTATGGTTACAGTAGTGAATAATAATACACTATCGCTGAGATATATAACTGTTAGCTCGATGTGTAGTAATGATGTTGAATATTTATCGAAAATGTATATTAAAACACTGTATCTAATAGTAAACATGTTTTTTATTACTGAATATCCCTTAAGGCTTCGTCAAACAGAACGCGTACTTAGCGCGCCTCAGAGCGCTAAACTAACGCCGGGCTATGACGCCTACTACTACGGTATTTTACCGTCAAACAGAGCGCCAGCGCTATGAGCGCTATAGCGCTGGCGCTCTTTTTGACGGTATGTTACCATAGTAGTACAACACATCTCTGCGTTATAGCGTAGCGCTCTGACGCGCGCTAATTACGCGTTCTGTTTGGCGAAGCCTTTATTCTTTGCTATATTTTGCATGGCTTTGCCATTTTCTTTTATCCTAAACTGACTAATTCTATAAATTAAAATAAATGAGTATCTAAGTTACGTATAACAAGGCCAGGGCTTAGCTGGGATCTTGAAATAAATGTTTCATAATAGTTTCCAGCACTTCAATAAAATCAAAACGATATTTAAAATTATTTTGTTATTAATATCTATTATACTTACCATATCGTAATATGTAACTTCTTGTCTTTTTTATTATAACATAATATCATTTATTTATTGGAGCTTCTAGTGGCTTCTACACATTACAATGTGATGAGCAAGTTTGGAAACCTCGGGCTTAGTGACGTGAAACGGTGTGTCTATTACCGGAGAAAAACCGGTTACTTATTTAACCGGTAATCACCAGCTAATTATTTGACAAACCAATACAGAATTCTCAACTATTTTCACTTAAGTGTATCCGAAAAATTATCTCTTTATTTTTTAATTCACAGATTACCTTTCACTTCTTTCTAGAAAAGTAAAACATTGAAAAAAAACTGTACTTATTTGATTTACAAAGCGTTAAGCGCCTTATTCACGATCCATCTTGCTGTACGTCCCGCCAAGGCCATGCACGATGCACGATGCATTTAGCGCTTTATTCACGATCCATCACGGCTGTACGTCAGCTCAAGGCCGCAAGCGCGAACAGTATAAATCGAACGAATTAAATAAGAGGGTTTTAATTTATTTAAAATGCCAGCTGTTTTATCAAAACGCCAAAAATGGGAGTCCTTCTGATGTTGTCAGCTGCAGCAGCAGAAGAGAGGCAAAAAATAGCAAGAGGTTTTGGATGATTTTTTTAAACGTGCAGAGTATACTCAAATAATTAATATCATTTTTTACGCACGCTATCAATCCCTGCAGCTTCCCCTAAAATGGACCTAAAAATTGTAATACGTTTATTATTTTTTGTTTATTCATATAGTCTGCGCTTGAGACATTCCACAAACATGTGGAACTTATATCTTTCAATAAATCTTGAAAGTGTTTCACGATCCATTTTGACGTGCAGTCTCCTCTCGAAGCAAGCTCTAAATGTTAAATTTGCTGTACAGCAAGTCTACACACGATCAAGCACGCACGACGCAGGACCGCTCGGACGTACGTCAGCGTTATTCACTGTCTATCTGCACGATGTTCGCGGTGGTGGGGGCACTCGCTGGACGCAAAATCGGTCGTGCAAATCCAGCAAACAATTAATAATAATTATCGACGTACGTCAAGCCTATTCATGATCCTTTTGCATCGTGCATCGTGCATGGCCTTGGCGGGACGTACAGCAAGATGGATCGTGAATAAGTCGCTTTAGTCCACTAAATTATGGAACATTTAATAAACAATAAATGCTACTTATTTACATCCAATGTTTAGAAATACTTTCCGCCATCAGGAATACTTTTCGTCTTCTAAAGAATTGTAAAAAGAGAACTGACCGGCAATATTACGGTTTATAATTCAACCTCATCAAGATCATTAATTATAGTCGATCAAAATTATCCTCTCCATTCGAAGCATGAAAGCTACTCGACTACCTTAAGCAAAAAAAGTCAGAATATTCCGTGAAGTCTACTGCTTCAGCAGTAACTATACTTAATGTACGTAAATTGAAACGCAAATCACTACCGATGTTTCTAAACTGAAGTTACAAAAATATCTGAAACTTTTTGAAGTACAAAAATAAGCATTTGAAACCTCTATATAAAATAACCTAAAAGTATCCTTCGGTTGGCGCAATCTCTGTACCTTCACAGGAAATGTTTCCTTAGAAAGCAAACAACAATATATGACCAACTTCGATCAGAAGTTGTTGAAAAATTATTTGAAAAAAAAAACATTTTTCTACTTTAAGAGGTTTCTTTGATATAGTTTCTGAGGGCCAATCCCGGCGGCACTGCAATGCCGGGCCGACCCGTGACGAGAGTGGAGCGAGCCCCGAACATCTCGTCGTTTTACAAAAATCAGTTTAATATACTGGTCCCTCAATGAGGGAACTTTCAGATATTAAGCTGAAAAGAACAGATACTACACTTTGATCTTAGCCAAAAGGCCGAGAAGCGATGCCGAAACTAAACAAGGTGAGGAAGGTCACTCGAATAAGACGCATCTCGTCATCGCGATTCAGTGTTTGTTGTTCAAATGCACAGCGCCATCTGCAGGCAGACATTTAATCCAAATCAAGTGTTCGGTCTGATTCAGCCTTGTTTTTTATGTTGGCTCAACACAAATAAGCGCCATCTGTTATGCATTTCCGAAATTTGTACCCTGGATTAGATTTTTACCATTTCCAAGCTGAAACCATATATCTGTAAGATTGGGAAAACAGCGAAACTACATGATCTTATTACTGTACTATATTATATCTTATTATTAAATCTTGTTACTTTGTATCGGTACTAATTGGTATTTGTGTGCTTATACGTAAATGGCATAGCTTGATCGGTCTCCTTTGGAGGCACTTGGGTAGCTGTTAGCAAATCCCACTGCTCCTGGCTGACGTCCTTGCACGCCCATCTGTCCTGGTAAAACTGGTAAGGCCTCCGGGCCGGGCAAGTAATGCCTTAATCATAAAAAAGCCCTGCTTGAAAATGGTAAAAATCTAATCCAGGGTACAAATTTCGGAAATGCATAACAGATGGCGCTTATTTGTGTTGAACCAACATAAAAAACAAGGCCGAATCAGACCGAACACTTGATTTGGATTAAATGTCTGCCTGCAGATGGCGCTGTGCATTTGAACNTTGAAACCTCTATATAAAATAACCTAAAAGTATCCTTCGGTTGGCGCAATCTCTGTACCTTCACAGGAAATGTTTCCTTAGAAAGCAAACAACAATATATGACCAACTTCGATCAGAAGTTGTTGAAAAATTATTTGAAAAAAAAAACATTTTTCTACTTTAAGAGGTTTCTTTGATATAGTTTCTGAGGGCCGATCCCGGCGGCACTGCAATGCCGGGCCGACCCGTGACGAGAGTGGAGCGAGCCCCGAACATCTCGTCGTTTTACAAAAATCAGTTTAATATACTGGTCCCTCAATGAGGGAACTTTCAGATATTAAGCTGAAAAGAACAGATACTACACTTTGATCTTAGCCAAAAGGCCGAGAAGCGATGCCGAAACTAAACAAGGTGAGGAAGGTCACTCGAATAAGGCGCATCTCGTCATCGCGATTCAGTGTTTGTTGTTCAAATGCACAGCGCCATCTGCAGGCAGACATTTAATCCAAATCAAGTGTTCGGTCTGATTCAGCCTTGTTTTTTATGTTGGCTCAACACAAATAAGCGCCATCTGTTATGCATTTCCGAAATTTGTACCCTGGATTAGATTTTTACCATTTCCAAGCTGAAACCATATATCTGTAAGATTGGGAAAACAGCGAAACTACATGATCTTATTACTGTACTATATTATATCTTATTATTAAATCTTGTTACTTTGTATCGGTACTAATTGGTATTTGTGTGCTTATACGTAAATGGCATAGCTTGATCGGTCTCCTTTGGAGGCACTTGGGTAGCTGTTAGCAAATCCCACTGCTCCTGGCTGACGTCCTTGCACGCCCATCTGTCCTGGTAAAACTGGTAAGGCCTCCGGGCCGGGCAAGTAATGCCTTAATCATAAAAAAGCCCTGCTTGAAAATGGTAAAAATCTAATCCAGGGTACAAATTTCGGAAATGCATAACAGATGGCGCTTATTTGTGTTGAACCAACATAAAAAACAAGGCCGAATCAGACCGAACACTTGATTTGGATTAAATGTCTGCCTGCAGATGGCGCTGTGCATTTGAACTACAAACACTGAATCGCGATGACGAGATGCGCCTTATTCGAGTGACCTTCCTCACCTTGTTTAGTTTCGGCATCGCTTCTCGGCCTTTTGGCTAAGATCAAAGTGTAGTATCTGTTCTTTTCAGCTTAATATCTGAAAGTTCCCTCATTGAGGGACCAGTATATTAAACTGATTTTTGTAAAACGACGAGATGTTCGGGGCTCGCTCCACTCTCGTCACGGGTCGGCCCGGCATTGCAGTGCCGCCGGGAT